AAAATTAAATTAATTTAAATCAGATTAAAAATTAAATTAATTTAAATCAGATTAAAAATAAAAGAAAGGAAGAGAATTAATTCATGTCAAACAAGCGCATGGGATACGAATAAGTCAAGCACGCGCTCTTGCGTTCCTGTTTGCGCATGGTATGGTTTTATTTACCTATATGTATATAACACTTTTTATTCATGACATCGCTATTGCAAACGTACGTTCACGCAGAATTGCGCTGTAATTGAAGCGTATCGAATACATAAATTAGTAATAGGGCGTACATAATAATAGATAGTCTTCATCATTGATAGCTCACTTTATGTCATGATCAATGAATCATTCAACAGTATATATATACGTTTGTGAAACTTATTAACGTCAGAGCACATCTGTATGTAAATCACTCTTTCTTGTATGTCTATATTAATGTTCAATGAGATCGATACTGTTCATCTCTGTATTTTCTCTTTATCCTCTTTCAATTATTCTGACTGTATCCGACGGAACAAGCTCAACACAATGTTCACAGTATGGTGATCCACCAGTTTCATCTAGTGGATCGATGCTCAATTACAACGAGATGGTTCAAGTGTGTCAAAATATATCGGGACAACTGCTTACTTTCGCGGATAGCAATAATGAAGCGCGTTGTGCATGTCTCGTTGTCACATCCTCATCAACAACGTTGCCTCTAGTCGTCTGGCTTCAACCGTCGGTTGTTTATCCAACGTCAGTGTACAATACGAATTTCATAGCCGAAGCATCTACTGCCAAACTGATGGGTACGATGAGCGGTCCATCTGGCTATCATTTACTACTTTCAGCTGCTCGAGTAACGAAAAATTTCGAGTGTGGTGCTATCAATTGTATTGCCTGGGACACTTGGTATCGAAACTTTAACCGATCTAATCCGAAGATGAATGTCGATGTTGAGACAATCGACTATTTCATTAATTATGTGGTCTATCATATGTCCAATCTTCATGTCGATCCCTCTCGTGTGTTTCTATCCGGTTGGAGCAATGGGGCCTCGATGGCATTGCTATATGCACTCAATACACCTAACATTGCTGCTGTAGCCGTATATTCATCGACAAATCCTTATCAAAATGACAATGATCCATGCCCACAAACACCCTATGCATCGCAATGCACATCAGTGCTTGATTTGGTCAATGTATGCGATTCTACTGGTATTTGTCTAGGGGCCGGAGAATTCATTGCTGAGTTGAATAATCGTTATAGAAATCAACTGACTGCTAAATTCATCACAATCAATGGGTATTCTCTTCCTACGCCGACGTCGACGCCGACATGTGTGAACTGTTCAGAAGCAGTAGGTTTGCTTAATCACGGTCGATGGCCAGTGAACCTTAACAATCAGATATTCTATGCCTTCTTTCGAAACTATACATCGCACTGATAGTATTTACAGATGATGCCTAAAAAAAGTATCGTGAATTGCTCTGATCCAATTATTTGCTATTCTTTTTCTGATATTTTTGTAAAAGTTGTTAGTTGTTCCGTTTCTAAATACAAAGACTATAATTATGAGGGTAAATACTGAATACAGAGAGGTGGAATTTCCTTATCTTCACTGTGTTTTAGTCTGTATTAAACGAGGCATATTTCAACATAGGGGCAAAAATGGTAGAAGACGCTTGATTGTGAATCAATGACTGTGATTATCAAATGTTATTCGAATCAACAAGTGCCGAGTGTGGGTGTGGGTGTGGGTGTTAAAGATTATAATTCCAACACCAGCACGGTACCCACATACACATCCACACTCATATAAAAAAGTATTTTATTCAATTGTAATGAAAATGCAAAATGAAATCGTTATTTATCTTCTTGATATCTTACGTAATTGCACGATTTGTTAATGATGGTGGTGTGTTTGATGAATTTTTTCGTCGATATAAAAAATAATCAAGATTTGAAATTATATAAAGACTAAATAATACCAATATGTAAACAATTAAAAGTGCTGGAAAATGATTTGGATTAAGATCTTTTACAAAGCTTAAAAAATATTCGAAAAGGATTTAAATGTAACATGCAATTTCGATAGTGGATGTGTGGGTATGGATCTTTTGTTCGCCCACATCCGAGCTCAGTGAAACAGTCTTACTGTAATCTTATTGAAGAAATCGATCAATAAAATCATCTCAGCTTATTCGTACTTGAATACCATCCTCATCTCTCAAAAAAAAACCAAAAACTTGATATCCTAAATGATACGATAGTTATAATTATTCTCATATAAAAATATAATCATATTTAAAACATCACGGATTAGTCAATCCACACGCAAAGTGAAGATGTATGAAAGCAATATGTACCATCAGTACAGACGTTATTCTCTTTCAAATATATATCCATTATCGGCAGAGATGTTTTGAAAGATTGATTCCAACGAATAGTTGCGCTAGTCAATTGATGAAATCCATTAAAAATTCGAAAAATATCATTTTGTTCTTTGACGTACAAAGAAACATATTCTAATTTTGGAAATGTCTGACAGATTTGATCAATATCATTACTAAGTATGGTATCTTCCACATATAAATGTTTTATTTGTTCATATTTATTTAGCTCATCTGAAAACGAATTGATAATTTGCATTAATGTTCTACGATGAATAGTTAATTGATAAATGTTTGATGCTACTTGTAAAAGATCATTAAATGGCTTAGGTTGTATTGAAGATCTCAATGTTAGATGATGAACAGATAATAAATTGATAAATTTTGTCAATTGATCAACGTTATCAATGTTACATTCGAGCGATAAAGTTTGGACATGTTTGAAGGGTGATGAAACGAGAACTGGTGAAGGACAATCCCATATTCGTAATTGTGTACAATTATCATCAAATGAATAAGAAGTTATTGAATAATTAATAAAACCTTCACCTAGTGGATACAATTGATCAGTTGGAGAAAAATAAGGCACAGAGAATAGTCTTGCACATGATTGAGTCGAAGTTGAGATTAAACAAGCCATGTGCCAATGTTTTTCATTTGTCCAAAATGAATTTTGAAATGGTATAAGTACATCATCACCAGTCATATTATTTTCTTCAGGTGTTATATTCAATGCAAATTCAGTTAGATATGGTAATTTTGTTTTAATTAATATTTCCCATCGTCTTCCATCAAGCAAAGCTAATTCACCTGATGTTTCAAATATGAAACGTTTCAATGATTTAGTAAGTGACAAGAAATTTTCAACTTGATTAAATGATGTCCAATGTTTTGACTCGATAATCAAAGAATTTAAATTTGATGGAATATAATCAAATATGAATGCACCTGCATCGTATGATACTAATATCTTAAGGTACAATAGATTTGGTACCCATTGAAAAATAATCTTTAGGTCATTGAATCTACAAGAACGAATAGTCAAATGAGTGAGTTTTAATAATGGTTGTTTAAGAGTTGTTAATGTTGAACTCTTCATAAATGTCAAATATTTCAAAGAAGGTAAACTTGCCAATGTTTCAGTAATAGAACGAGAATATTTTTTACTTATTTCTATATGATAATTATATACAATTAATGATTGAATTTGAGGATGATTTTCAAGATGTGATAACATTAAGCAAAGTAAATTAGCATTATCAATTTGAATTATATTTATTGATTGAAGATTAATAAATTGAATAAGTGGTAAAAGAGACATGAACAATTTTATTTGACCTGGTGTATGTTCATCATCAGCAAGAACAAGAGATTGAATTTGATTAGGATAGATATGTTCACATATATAATAAAATGTTGATTTATTCATTGATTTAAAATTGAGTCGAATACGAGAATATGAATGAAGTATTGTATCAATATAGGAATTTATTTCAATGAATCCATGTAGAAGATCATTTGGTTTTAAATAATCAAATACCATATGTAAAACTTCCATGGGAAAGTAATCAAGCATACACGGCATGCTTTTAGAAAATAATTTATTCAATTAAGAAATCTAGAATTTACAAATGTATTCTTATTATACTAATCAGAAAATTGTTGATTATGATGATTAGATTTATGAAATCACAAAATTTAAATATCTGAGTTAGAGAACAGGTAAAACACAGACGACTTTGGTAAATTTATGCTTGTTGATTGTGCAATTCTATCAGAACCACTAGAAAATTACGTTTATTTCTCTCTGAAAAATCTTTCTGTAAAAAAACAAAACTAGGTGGCGTTAATTCATGGTCAAATTTCTCTACTGTATGATAAGAAACTTTTTCAGATCGATTCAAATTCGTCTAGACATCAACATTGAATAAATCTCATTCATTGTGTCGATGATTTTCTTGTCAGATATTATTAAACAATATGAAATCAATTCGTTAGATATTCGATTTATTTCGAAACAAAATCAAAAGCTTTTGCTTTTTATTCACCTACTTTTATATTTTTGTTGTAACAATGTTCGATATAGGCTCCTTTAACATAGTAAATTAACCTAAAAAGTCGTAGTCAATTCTCCAAAGTATGATGGATTCCGTCCTGTTCGAGCTTCTCCCATTTCTATTAGACAGCATTTTTTCAAATCTTTCATTGTTAGCACTTAGTATTTTCGTGCTCACTCTTTCATGATTACCTTAATCGAAAAGTCCATTGGAACAACATTTGAACTCTTAGGTAGCCATTCTTCAAGTGTTACAACTTGAATGTGATGCTCTTTCAAATAAACAATTGTGTCGTTGACTATGTGACCCGGTGCATTGTATGGATGAAGAATCTTGTTGTTCGTGTATCACCAGAATATAAACATAGAATATCATGCTCAATCTCAATGCTTTTAAAATGTGTCCAATGTAGTATATTGACTAGTAATGATTACGCCATATTCAAAGAAATTAAATTTGAAACTGGTTGAATTTTTTTCAACTGGTGAAAAATCGGTACATTTAAATGTATAAATTAACATTCTAGTTCTTTTGAAAAAAAGTTTATTAGTACAGTTCAACGAAGACATACAATGTGAAACTTCTATAACGATTGTAGTTTCTAATAGTAACAATTTCTATTTTAATTTGTAGCGTTTCATGTATGCTAACGCAAAGAACGATAGAAGAACTATTTCAAAACTTTTCATCTATTAACTCACAATAACTGATATTGAACAGCATCTATGTTTTTTTTTTGGTTGAAATTTCTGACAATCAGTTAAAAGTATCCCACAAAAGTGAGCTCAAAATTTCGACGTGGAACATCTTTAATTTATAGTGAATTTCACTTCGAATGGCTAACTTATTTTTCGTAACCGTAATCAGTACATTCAGTATGATTCGAAGCTCTTAGAGCTGCAATTTTGATGACAAGTACAAAATATTTTAGTTGGAAACTTTCGCACTCATATTTCTAAACTGTTAAAACTGTGAATGTTGATAAAAATGAATAAAATAGACCACTTTCAGTATCTTAAAACTTTATCAAATATCGGTAAAAACTGATTGGTTTCTGGGTTCATGATAATTTCCTGATAATTTATTAAGATTCAGTAAACTTGATGTAACAGCATGAGAAGAAGCTTGAGTTACAAGAGATATTTCACTATTTTGATCTTGTAAGTTTGTTGAACAATCAGTAAAATTAATTAAAGAAATTTCTCTAGTTGAAAGAGATTATGTTTACGCTTTTGCTTTTTTTGTAAAATATTGAAGCGTTGGTTCAGTCGATCCTTTCGATGATATTGATTGATTCTAAACTAGAATATTGGCACTGCTACTACACTCAAAAGAAAGTACTTTTTCTATTATTAATATTTATATCAATATGAAATCACATTTTAATTAGTAATAAGGAAGAATATTATCATAATCATCTCTCGTTCCGATAGATTTATGATGTTGAATGTAATGCGTGTATATAATAGGAAAGCTCCAAATTCGGATAAGTATATAAATGAACACTTTTCAGATTAAATTTTACTGGAGCCTTAATAATAATCATTACAGATGTATTTCACTCGATTAAATGGAGTGAATGATAATATGATAAAAGAGAAGAAGTTTGCTGGAATGTAACTAGTTTCGTTGTCATTTAATCATATAATTATAGGATTGACCTAGTTTGCATACCAGTTTATGTAATAAATAAAATACAAGATATTGCTAAGAGCCATAACAAAATGCTTACACGTTCGATCGTCCTTGACTAGAATCATCGATTCAATACCGACAGTATTCTCACAACAACAAGAACACTTATCACTAATATAAAATCATCTTTTAACAGTGAGTTAATACTTAAAATTTTCTTTTTATTATTATATTAATCATAAAAATGACTAGAGTCAAATTGATAGTATTCTAATAGATATTTACAAATAATTAATGATAACTTATTTATTTTTATCAAAGATCTAAGAGAAATTTTATTCATTTGTCTTAACAAATATAGTTTTCCTAAATTAGAAATGAAGTGAAATTTCTTTCGAAAAATCTTCCAACTAATATCAGAATGGTATGAAAGAAAAACTAAAACAAAAAAAAGAAATAAATTGTAATTTCATTTTTTAGAATAAGGAATTTCAATTTGTACCATCATTGGTATGTTTACTTTAATAGGAAATGTCAAAAAGTTCTTGACAATGGTTCATCATATCAATTACAGCGGTGGATCTAGAAATCTTTCAATATGGGGCGACTATTCACATAAAATGTATTTTGAAGCTCTATAAAGGTAGTTTCAGCTCCATTTTAAGCGTTTTCTTCTAGAAAAACCTGGTTTTTCGTTCTGTCGATATGGGGCGATCGCCCCAAGTGCCCTCCTCCTAAATCCGCCACTGTATCAACTATCATCTCAAATAAACTATATATTTGACAATTAATTTCTTTGTTTTATTTGAATTTTTCTTTTGATTAGTTTTAACTCGAAAAACAAAACAAAATATGGAATTGATTGATCTTGCTTATAAATCAATTTCGTTTGACGATCTACAACAGTATTACAACAGGTAACGATAAATGACCGATCCGATAGAGGATTCCTTACCGGTCGGTGTAGATTTTTTCAGGATTTTCCACGTTGTTTTTTTTTTCAGAAAATTAATCATAGAGATGTTTTTTTGCCAAATTAAACCAGTTTTACTGATTTCGATGACTATTTCTATGGGAAAACATGCATTAGAATATTTCTATCAAGTAAATATTCATGAAAATACCCGTAATATATTATATCAAATCACCTCAATATCAAGTTAATATTATCGAAACAAAATGGAATTACTATGCGTCATTGTAATTTCTTACATGTTTATATTCAGTTGGTATTATTTATACTGTATCTTTCACAGAGATGAAATATCTATTTAAGGAATCCAAAGGAGAAAAAGCGAAAACTGCATACTTCAAGAGTATGTCAACTCTAATATCAACATGTGTCACGAGCATATTAGTTTGAGTTCATTTTATATAAGTCTGTCTGACACTAAAGTCTAAATACTTCATTGTACTTGAAGATTTGACCATTACTGAAGTACGATGAAGTACTTGAGCTTTATTGACAGATAGACTTATAAAATGAGCTCAAACTAATACACTCGTAACACACGTTAATAGTAGCTTTGACATGCTCTTGAAGAACGAAATTTTCACTTTTTTCCGCTTGGGCAAACCTCATCATCTATATGACAAACCATCACAGAACAAAAACCAGTATGTTGGAAAATCCGTTAGGCTGTTACTAACTTATCGAAATCTCTGTCACATCGTGTAGAAGTACCAAACCTTCGGAAAAATTATATTCATTTTCATAGCTTTGTTATGATCGTTGTTGATGATTCATTCTATTTGCCTTATGATTGATAGATCGATCGAACATCGTTGAGTAGATATTGTGTACTGAGTAATTTAACGGTGATGTTTTTGCTATATATATTTATTTTTCGTAAACTATTTTTTTTTCGAATTAAAAGAGAAAGTTTCTTTCTTTACCAATTCTACCTGCCTTCTATAAATAAGATTTTAAAAAAAATTTTTAAAGATAATGTGTCTTGAAGAATATGAACAAGATATCAAAGGTGAAGATTTCCATTCAAAAATTCTTCCATATAGATAATCATCATCTTATTCATATGACATATCAAATAAAACTGAATATTTTCTAGATTATTTTTAAGAAAAATTTTTTGATGAGTTTTTAAAAAAAATCTTGATTTTATTATTTATTAATGTAAGAGAATCTTGTTCAATGCATAAAAAATGATTTATTTTAGTTTGAAAAATACTTTCATGTTCGCAATAGAGTTGAACTTTTATTTTTCATCGTCTTTGATTATATCGATTTTGAGGTTCAATAGGATCAATCCATTTTGTTACATTCCAAGGTGCTCGAGAATATGATGGCGGTTCTGAAACAAAAACCATATATATTTATGATGATGATTTAACAAAATAGAATTACTTGGACGTGAGAAGTTGATAGATAGTTGAGGTGAAGGATCATAAGCATATCTAGGATGAAGTTTATTTAAAATCAAATTAATTCTTTTTATATGTATGATGAAGAAAAAAAAAGGATATACTTATACTGATTTGAATATTGAACATGAAACCCTGATCTTGTAGCCATTGAATTATTGTTCATTGTTTCAAATGAAAATTAATTTTATCAGTAAAATATTTATTCAATTGAAAATGTAGATATTAAACTAAATTTTAAAATCGTTCGGAATCGATTCTCTTCGAATTCAAAATCTAACAACAAAAAAAAATATTTATCATAAAAATAAAAATATCAAATTATCATAACAATGTAAATAAAAGTAAATGGTATATAAAAATGGGTCTAAACGATTGGTCACATGTAATTTATAAATAAACATGAAACGTAAGGAAAGCAAAATATAGAAAATATACAAATATCCTTGTACATATATTAACAACGTGTTTATATTTCCTTGGATCAATCAATCAAGCATGACATCATTCGATATTTATTTTCTTCTATTATTTATTTATCTATTACCCATCACAAAAGTAATATAGAATGAATCTGATTCACATCATTTCTATGATCATTATCATTTTTTTGTCGTTAGTTTATGTCTTTAAATAAATTCATTTTCATTAGATCTACCATTTTTTTTTTGTTTTGTACGGTTTGTTTCAAAATTCGAATTGTTTCAAATCTAGTTTTTTTTTAAAATGCTTTGTTCGATACTGCGTCTGTTTATCTGTACTATTTTTGTTCCAATATATTATTTTCCTGTCTATCAACTTTAGTATAACCTAGTTCGTATAATGACAATCAAACAACTATTTAAAAAATATAAATTTTTCAAGTGAAGAGTGCAGATTCCAGTTCCTAAAGATAAATTCGAATATATAATTACGTGAATGATCTGCAATTAAAAGTATAATATAATATTTAATCTTTTTTTTAATCTGATGATCGTCATTGCTACAAAATCTGGAAACAAAAACTCCGGAAAATGATTCTCATGTAGAAAATCAAATCTCCATGTGGGAATCTCGGATTTTTTTCTCTTCAGATTTTTGGTTTTTTGATTTTTCTTTTTTAAATTTAGAGATACATCCGTACTTTCAGAAAATAGAGTCATGTCAAATATCCTGAATGTGTAAACTAATTTTTTTTATCGTTAATGTAATTATTATATCTAGAGATTGTGTTTGTCCTCGTTAGACTTATGTAAGTTCAAATATTTATTATTCATAATTATAACATATCAAAACATTTAAATGTTCATATAAATGAAAAAAAGTTCAAAAAAAAACCTGTAATATGAATATAAAAATAATTTTTAAAATAATCCAATAAGATAAACCTTACGTTTTTAAGTTTATCAACTAAAATAATAAATTCGTTAGGTCTCAATTTTTCGATCTATATTCGTTCGAAGAATTTAAGCAATATAATCTCGAATTTGTTGTAAATTAATTTATAGAAACATTTGATTGAGAAATTCATTTATTAAATGATATTATTTTGTTTGAAAAACAGCGAGTTGATGTTCATTTGTTCTTAACTCACTTCTGATTACTTTATCAAATAAACTAAACTCATGCAAACAAGACAAGTGAAATCATTTTTGTAAATCAGGTAAATATAATATACGAATCGTAGAAATTGGACAATCTTGTTTAGATTGTTTTTCATTTTCAATGAACTTTTCTTCAGATATTCTGTGAACTTTTTTTTTATGGTTAAACTTTAACAAGAGTAGCTGGTTTGTGACGAATATGAGTGATACGTAGCTTAATAAATTTGATTAATGTTGGAATGACTAGTTTTAAAGCTTTAATTCACAAAGAATTTTCTTAGAGAAAAAGAAAATTTTAATAATTATATAAAATAATGTTTTTTAATTTAATTTGTTTCACATCGAGTTATTAGTCTAATAGTACGTTCTTTTCATATAAAAAATCAAACATTAAATTTTAGTACTATTCATATATTCATTCTAAAACTATAAAAAGAATATTATTTTAATATATATTTGATAGATCTTATCGTAAAAACAAAATTACTCTTGTAATCATAATTCATAAGAAGACAAGAAAAGATGAATGAATACCTACGTTATTTTTTTCATTTGCTCTTCTGAAAAATGATCAATTGATCGAGGTCAAATAAAATGCGATCTATCTTCCTGTTTACTATTACATATAAGTGACCCATTTAGTATGATGCTGACATCCGTAAGAAACTAGAAGAAAAGAGCCCAATGACTAAGATTAAAGAAATATAATTCTAGTAATTATCATTATATTCATCTCTCTTATAATAGATCAACAATTTTTTGATCTTTTACAATCATTCGATATATATTCAAAGGTTTTGTACTTGCTGACGGTGAATCTTCGAGAGAAACAAATAAAGAATGAATATAGTTAAGCATACAATTGTTCAATCTTGATATTAAATTAATGGAATAAAATAATAAGATCAGTTTCTTTTTATTCATTGTAAAACATTAATTAAATAAAACTTTTTCATATAAATATCACCATAAAGCTATTTAACCATAAATGATTTCTTTTAAAGAGATACAAGATTAAAATGAAATGATCCGGTTAGAGTTGCAACTTGAAGCTAAATGAAAATTAACCAATCTGTTGTGAAGCACAATGCCAGAAAATTTTGATAATCTTATTCAATTTTTTATTCGATGTTATTAAAACTTGTTTAAAGTTCCCTCCTTACAAAAATTGATTTTGATCTAGGAATATGCAAATCGTATAAGATTTTCAGAATACATTGGACCTGTAGTGGAGAAGCTATGGGAAAATTTTCAGCCCTACACAATGATATTTTCGGGAGATATGTAACAAACAAGGCTTGAAAATAGCTCATTTGACAACCCAAAATTCACGGTAGGCCTTAATTCTATAGGCTTAATTTTTTTTTGTTTGAATGAGCATGTCAGGACGCAGCTTATGAGAGAGTCTTTATTTTTAAAAGTTTTACTTTTAAAGGGGAGAAAAAGAATGAAAAGTTCAAGGTCTCAAAAAATTGTTAAAAATGCCATTCTAATAATATAAGTACTCTTTTTGTATAATAGTAACAAAGCTTAATTCAAAAAAAGGGGTTCTGTCATGCCCTGCATCTTGACATACTCTTTCAAAGAAAAAAAATCTATTGATTACAATGAAGCTCCTTCAGAATACGCAAACAAAAAAGCATAAACAGAGAAAAAATGAAAAGGATATTTTATTTTTTTTCGAAAACCACGTATTTTTCAAAAGAGTGATAAGAGAAATCATAAAAAATTTCGGCAAAGAAGGAGGTACCGAATAAAAAATCTTAGTGTTTCTGAAAGATCAGATCACAGACTATCTTTCCATGCATTTATCTTAATTTCGACCATTCTGACGAAAACAGACTTTTTTTTTAGAGGAGACCTTAAAGTCTATGCTAAAAACAAAAGATATTCTTTCTCTGTTACTCTTGATAAACTAAGCAAATAAAATTTTAAATTCTAGACTAATATTATATTTATTCGATTCTATTAATCCTTTGGTTACCAACAAAAGGTATACATACATAAAATAGAATGAGGGTGCGAGTGCCAGTGTGGTGTCAGTGTAAAGAAGAAAACGTCCATACCCATATCTCACACCCAAAATCATATTGAATCCGAAAGAATTTATTTAATGTAAGAATAGATGATTTTTTAATTTGATCATCGATTTGTTGATTTGATAAAAGTGTATCAAGAAAAATATATTCAACATAAGCAAATGATATATTTTATATGAATATAAACAATATCAATCGAACGTGAACCAGCCATTTTTGTATAAATTTTTCCTAACATTAGATAAATATTCAAGAAATGCATCATTCCAAACCATTTGTTCAGATTCATTAACTGTTAGAGTACCTGTAAATCCAAAATGACGCATTAGAAAATAACGTTTCGTTATATAAAAATCTAGTAATCTTTGAAATATTTTATCAACTATTATTGAAATAAGTGAAGCAACGAGTGTTCCCAGAATATTAAGTGTAGCTATATCATTCACTATAAAAATTGATAAATTTTGATAAATATTCAAAACGATGTCGAAGATTATGTTCAATTAATTGTATATTTATATGTTCAGTTATATTATACGATGTTTATTTCAAGTCAATGTTGGATAAAGAATAAAATGAATTAAAGCTTTATAGATTCTATCCACTATTGAAATATATGCACATAGAAATTTATTACAATCGATCAACAAAATATTTTATTTAAAAGAAAAACTAAAAATACTCTTATATTAATCTGATTATACAAAAATCTCATTTAACTATAATGTATTTGTTGTCGACTACTTCTTATTAATTCACTAAGTCTTTTTTAAATTTTATCAATCATTTTTTAACAATAATTACAAATTATTTCTTTCATTCTTTGCTCAATCTAGTTTTATGTTGTTTTAACCTTGAAAACTGTTCTCCTAGTATTTTTTTTCTTTAATATTCCCCATACTCTTTTAATAGATCATACACAACAGCAACTCACATATTCATTTTTATATTTTCTGTGTTACAAGAGGAGATATTATTTAATAATATATCACTTGAAAGATTGACACGAGTACTCGATGTTCATATAAAAATCATTTGTTTACAAGTTATTTTCTGTCGGTATATAAACTAATTTTGTGATGTCTCAAGACTTATGAAACATTCTGTAGACAGAAAGCTTTGAAAAGAGAAAATGATTTTTTTGAAGTTGAACATCAATGATATTTACGTTTGAGAAATTTTTGTATCTCTCTTAGAATTTTCAGCTTATATTTAAAAGATTATGTGAGGATGATATGTTGTTACATACTTTGACAATTCTGTTCAATATTGTTATACTTTATTGAGAGATGAGTTTTTTTATTTTTCTTTCTGTCTTTTCGGTCTCATCAAATAAAATGAAAAGAACAGAAAATTGATTAATTCATGGGGGAACCCTCCTCTCACAAACAAACTTTTTCATTCTTCTATGGAATTCAACTTAAATTTCAGAGAATATTAGTCTTGACTAGAATAAATTATGGTTAAAATATCTCCCCAAATCTGCGAGCCATTCACGAGTTATAGTCAATCCATTGGTCAAAAATACCTTTTATGCGGGAAAGGTTTTCACCATGAGGATTCGAACTAAGCATGTCGGAGTGGTTTTTAAATTGTAGAGTACACTTAGAGCTAAATCCTAATATAGCCTGATTTTTTAATTTCCTTTTGTTTGCTTTTAAAAAATCTTTTCTGAAAAATTCTCAAATTCGTGACCAAAAAATTGTGAATTAAAATCAACGATCTAAGTTTTTTATTTAAACAAAGGAGAAATTCAAAACTCCGGCTCTATTAGACTCTAGCCCCACGTGTCTGCTGTATAACAAGAAAACGTTATCATATTTATATTGAGTCGTCAATGAGAGAGGTTTGCCCGCGTAAACAGTATATTCAAAAAAACGGATTTTGAGAAAAACGGAAAATGAGTTTTTAAAAACCTTATTTTTTCCAATATGGAGGTTCAGAAAAACCAATGTTATATCCTTAAATCTCATCATAAAATCAATCAGCTATAGTGCATTCGACAGTAAACACTTTGCTCTATCTAATGAGCTAGAAATCACAAAATTAATAAAATTGACAAAAATTGACTTTGTCTGACGGTCTCCTCCCTTAACGTATGTGAATGATTTATTACAAAGACAGTTGATCACATCTCATTTATTATACGATATATATGTCGTTCTCATCATTTCTTCTCCTCTAAAATTATTACTCAAATCAATATTACGAGACAATGTAAAATAATCATTGAAGCCAATTACTGCTGCCAATAACAATAAATTAGATCGATCGACAATGTCAAAATAAAATAAAGAATATGATCTTGAAAGATTCTATTCATTTAATATCTTGAAAAATACATTTCTTCTATTGTCCGTTTCAAAATATAATGTCCACCACTGTTTTTTGAATAACTCGAGAACGCAAGCAGCTAGAGATTTGCGGTTTTCGCCAATCGAAAGAGGAAATCGGGAGACGTCTTTTTCTCCAATAATGTGTAAGAGAAAATCCTTTTAAAACAAATTATTTTCGAAAAACATGTAAAAGAAGGCATGGAAATGACCTGTCATCTAGATGAAATTTGATTTTGACCTATGATTTAGATAGAGGGATCTCGAATCTATAGTTCAAGGTGTAGTACGTTTCCTTACTTTTCATTACATTTCCATCGAAATGTCCAGCCATTATGATAAAAAGTGAGAAAATTTAGTAAAAATTCCTTTTATTTGCGCATGTAAATACATATGTAATTTATTCAACGTTAGAATGTAATAAGAGAACCAATCTGTATTGTATCTTGAACTATAGATTTGAGGTCCCTCTATCTAAATCAAAGATCAAAATCAAAATTTCATCTAGATGACAGGTCATTTTCATGCCTTCTTTTGCATGTTTTTCGAAAATAATTTGTTTTAAAAGGATTTTTCTCTTACACATTATTGGAGAAAAAGATGTCCCCCGATCTCCTCGTTCGATTGGTGAAAACCGCAAGTCTCTAGCTGCTTGCGTTCTCGAGTTATTCAAAAAACAGTGGCGGACATTATATTTTGAAACGGACAATAGTTCATAGTGTCTTTTCGTTTTCAGACCAATGTCTTCTTATTCTTTCAATACATAATTATCAAACATTAGGTTTTTTTTTGACAAAAAAAAAACGCTAGCAAGAGCAGTTGCAGAATATGTTACAGTTGCCGGATTGTTATTGTTTATAAGTGCTTAAAACGTTATCATTAACATACGTCAGCAACTTGGAAAAACGTTTGCTAACTGTTCGCCTCTGTCGACTAATCTATCCCGACTAATATTTTGTTTATTTCAAGAATAAAACGATGATAATTATGCTTATAAATAACTATATATATATATTCATGTATGACATGACGAAGGTAAAAGACAAATAAGAAAAACATAAAATATGACAAGAAGAAATTGATAACTATAAAAAGAAACAAGAGAAAAGAAATAAAATAGACTAAATATAGCACCACAACCTAAGACAAGTTATTTTTGTTTTATTGGATAGGTTTAGGACATTCGACTTATTTTGCTAAATCTGCAAAAAAGATCGAATGAAAAAATTTAATAAAAAATATCAAAAATACATCATTCAAATTTATCATCTTATCACCTTAATTTATGCATAGATCATCTAAATGAAATTCATCATTGTATCATAAGATATAGGGGATCCGTTCCAAGTGTTTATTTATAACAAAGTATCACTGATTTTCGCTCATACTTTTTCTTTCCAAAAGAATACGATTTAATACTATATTGAAATGGATTAAGGTTTGGTGCAATAGTCAACTTAGGTGTTCTTCTGTGTACATGTGAGGTTTGAAAAGTGAAATAATCGAGAATCTTTCTATGTTGCTTCGAACAATAGCAACGGATAAAGAAATAAAATATTGTTATATGAAATAATATATGTAACGAAAACTTTTTTAACACAAATGAATTGTATCAACGGTTGTTATTAAGTAACACAACATTAGGACAACAACTACAAATAAGGAAATCGTAAAAGATTGCACGTCAAGTTCTTAGAAAGGAATGAAATTCGATTTGTTGTTTCGTGACAGATTTGTACATCCATGATATGATCGATAACGATACAAATCTTTGTAGTCATCGACGATATTATATGTAATACTGAAGTTATTTTGGCTTGCCTAGATAGAATAGTTTTTTTTTATGATTTGTATTTTTAATCTCTATTACGCATGTCTATCACATTTGTCGTTTGGTTTTTTTATCAATAAAACTTCTATTCAAATTTGTTCACTTCCTGTCCGATAGATCTTTTCAAGTGCTAGAAACATAAGCTATTTGGCAGGTTCTAAAAAAGTAGGATATAAAACAAAATTCTAAGTCTACTGAATTTTTGAGACTCTATTTGTGCCTTTTTTGACTAATATTCGACGGTTTCCGCACAGAATCATTCCCAATTAGCTTCAAACAAAAGTCCTATTTGGAATTAGCACGCAAAACTAAGCCGACTAATGCGTGTTTCAAATTGTTTCTGAGACTTTTTTTCATCGAACTTTTATCATTGATCTCCTTAAGGAATATATAAAAACAATGAGTTTAACCCAAATACCTATTTTATCGTTTAATAACGTGTATTTTTTTGTCTTCAAATAGTATTTTGTATGGTGGGTGTATGGGTGTAGTTCTCCTCTTCAACCGCATCATTACACATTACCAGTCTCTTCGTTGTTCTAATTCATTGACACAATGATCTATTGGAAAGAATAATCACCTCAACAAAAGAGGAAAGGATGTACAATTAATATTACATTTTCATGGAACCTGTAGATTGTTTTTCAGCAGACTTTGCTTCGATATTTTTATTTTTGACATTAATTTTTGATGTTTTTTTCATTGAATATCGTTTTTTTTTCGTGTGGTTAAATCAATGCCATTCGGTGCGGCACAATAACCACAAACTCCAGAAGAGAGAGGAGAACATGATCCGTCGTCACGGTTCACACTGAAAAAAACACTAGAATCAGTACAGTATGTAAGAAGGTTGTAGCTGTGTTATTCTTTATACGTACTGAAAAGGCTACGAGAAATAATTATGTTTAAAATTTACGAACAATCTGTAAACAATGTCAAAACAGTTGATAATAAATAAATGTTTGATAGTAAATGCCTTTTTTCATTGCATTATTTAAGTCAAATGTGAGCTTTTTCTATATAAATTAAAACAATTTTGATAAGAATTTTTTAAAATGTCAATATCAATTTTTCGTTCTGTTGATGTTGTTAAAGAACAGTCAAGATTTACAAAGAAGTGTAACCAACACTATATCTCTGCTTCTTTTACAGTACATCTCATGCATTGTAATTATAAAATTTTTCTTTTTTTCATTCTGCTTACAAAGAACAAATACAACATAAATAAAATGGTTTCCCCGAAAAGTTAACCAATTTACTAAAGAGTTAATTAGAGTATCGCAAGAAATTAGCGTTCAATCATAGATCATATAGAAAAATATTTGTTTAGGTAACGTTTTATTTTAGTTTGTTAGTAATGGAATGTGGATGTGCGAAAGCCACTGCTGTTGTTGTTCCTTCTGTACCACATGCTAACCTTGATAATCAAACTCAGGAAATAGTTAATACTGCATTGAAAAAAAGCATCACGCATTCAAAACCAAGTATATCACAAGTAAAATCAAAAACTCCACCACTACATTCAGAACATGAAACTAATCAGAGTTTTATTATTCTATGGGTGGATTCGAATATGGATGAATGAAAAAAAAACATATCAAAAGTCAATTACTAAACTATAAACATATTGATCGATATATTGATTATTTAAATAGTATTGAAGATAAAAGAATATTCTTGATTGTATCATATGATCTTGGTGAACAACTCCTAGAACGGATTCATGATAAATCAATATTAAAATCAATTTATATTTATTCCGAAGAACAACGACAAAAATTATTATAAGCAAATAAATGGAGTAAAATCAAGGGAATTTACATGGATACGGAATCAATTTATGATGCTATTAAACATGATAGTGGTCAGATTGGTAATGAAGCGATTTCTGTTAGTATTTTATCAATGATTGATACTGTCGGTCGTTCTTTGAATCATCTTGATCAATCATTTATGTATACACAATTAGTTAAAGAGATATTACTTGAAATGGAATATGATTATACATCAAAAAGTAAATTTATTGAATTTAGTTGTATTCGATATTCTGATAATGATTTTCAATTGGGTTTAATGAATGAATTTAATGAAAATCATAATCGTGAATCAGCTATTTAGTGGTGTATAAGAGAATCTTTTCTATATACGATGCTTAATCGATCATTGAGAACACAAGATATTGAAGTTCTTCTTAAAATGGGATTTTTTATAAATGATCTTCATCAACAAATAACACAATTGTACAATACACAAACAAATAATCGATCTCCGTTTGTTGTTTATCGTGGACAAGGCATGTTGTTAAATGATTTTGAGAAAATGAAAAAAAGTAAAGGTGGTCTTCTTTCATTCAATAATTTTCTTTCTACAAGTCTTGATCCTGATGTTTCAATTGAATTTACTATTCATGCATATTCTAATCCTAATATTGTAGCTATTCTTTTTAAAATAAATATTGATCCAAAAAAATCATCAATTCCATTTGCTGCATTGGATAATGTTAGTTCATATAAATCTGAAAAAGAAATTCTTTTTTCAATGTATACTATTTTTCGACTTGAAGAAATCCATCCAATTAATGAACGACTATGGCAAGTAGAATTAACATTAACAACTGATAATGATCAACAACTTAAAATGCTTATAGACCATTTTCGAAAAGAAATCGATGGAGGAACTCCATGGCAACGATTGGGACATCTTCTACGTAAAATGGAAGAATTTAATTGTGTTGAAGAACTCTATACGCCATTATTTGATTCAAATGATGAAAATAATCAACATAATCCTGCTCATATCTATCATCAACTTGAATATGTTAATAGTGAGAAGGATGACTATCAAGCTGCATTTTACAATTACAAAAAAGCATTAGAAATCGAAGAGAAATCACGTGGTCTCGATCATCCATCGCTAGCTACTACTTATAATAATCTCAGTGGAGTATATAAAAGTATGGGAGATAATAAAATTGCGCTTTCATATTATGAAAAAACTCTTCAAATTCAAGAAAAATCTCTTACCCCTAATCATTTATCATTAGCTACAACATACAATAATATTGGTTCAGTATATGATGTATTAGGTGATTATTCAACTGCACTTCACTTCTATAAAAAAAACATTGGATATTCGAGAATCAACACTTCCTTCATATCATCCTGATTTAGGTTCAATATTCAATAATATTGGAGGAGTACATAAATCAAAAGGAGATGATTTAAGTGCTCTTCGATTTTATGAAAAAACACTCGAAATTCAACAAAAAGTTCTTCCACCGAAGCATCCAGATTTAGCTATCAGTTATAATAATATTGGTTCTATTTATAGTTCGATGGGAGATTATTCAAATGCATTTATTTATTATAATAAATCTCTTGAAATTCGACAAATTTTTCTTCCTTCAAATCATCCAGATATAGCTGCTAGTTATAATAATATCAGTACTGTTCATAGTTCATTGGAAGAATATCAAACTGCATTGTCATTTTATAAAAAAAGCACTTGAAATTCAAGAAAATTCTCTTGATTCAAGACATTCTGATTTAGCTAATACTAACAATAAAATGGGTCCAATCTATAGTTCCATCGACAATAACTTAACTGCATTATCGTACTATGAAAAATCACTTGATATTAGACAAAGTTCCCTTCCTCCGAATCATCCAGATTTGGCGTCAATTTTCAATAATATTGCTTTAATAAATAATACACTTGGAAATCAACCGATAGCATTGTCATTTTGTCAAAAAGCATTAGATATACAATTAAAATCATATTCTCATGATCATCCATCTTTAGCTACAACTTATACTTATTTTGGTTCAATTTATAGTTCTATGAAAGATTATGAAACTGCAATTAAATATCATAAAAAAGCACTTGAAATTCGACAAAAATCTCTATAAAAAAAATAATTCATAATTAGCTATAACTTACAACAATATTGGATCTGCATATTATTCAATGAAAGATTATTTAACTGCATTATCATATTATGAACAAGCACTTATCATGCAGCAGAATGCTAAGCCTGTTAAACATCTCGATATATCTACAACATACAATCAAATTGGTTTAGTACATCATGATATGAAAGATTATTTTAAAGCTCTTTCATTTTATCAAAAATCACTTGAACTAAAACTAACAAAACTACATCATGATTATAAAGATTTAACGATTATCTACAACAACATTGCTCTAGCATATCATGCCATGGAAGACAAACAAAATGTACTCTTGTACTATACAAAAATGCTTGAAATTCAAGAAAAATCTTTGTCTATCAATGATATATCATTAGCTACTACATGCAATAATATTGGATCAATACATTATTCAATGAATGATTATTCGAGAGCTTTGCTATTCTATGAAAGAACTCGTCAAATTCAAGAAAGATCTCTTGGTGAAAATCATTCTGATTTAGCAATAACAAATAATAATACAGCTCCAACATATTTTGAAATGAAAGATTTTAAAAATGCACTTATTTTTTATCGAAAATCGCTTGATATAAGATTAATATCATCTTCGAATGACCAACAAGTTTTGGCTATTAATTATAACAATATTGCTACGGTCTATCAATCTATGAATGATAAATCTAATGCACTTTTATTCTGTGAAAAAACACTTGAAATTCGAGAATCTTTTCTTTCTGATGATTTAAAATTAGCTACAACTTATAATAATATTGATTTCATTTATCATGAATTCGAAGATTATTCAAATGCAATTTCATTTTATCAAAAATCATTGAAACTTCGTGAAAAATCTAATCGTTCTGATGATTCGTCATTAGCAACAATCTCTAATAATATTGCTTCAGGATATAATTCAATGAAAGATAATTCAAATGCAATTTTATTCTATGAAAAAACTGTTCAAATTCGAGAAAAATTAAATTCAACTGATGAAAAATCTTTGGCAACAGTTTATAATATCCTTGGTGCATTATATTAATCAATGAAAAATTATTCAGCTTCAATTGACAATTATGAAAAATTAGTTCAAATTTAAGATAAATCATCAACTCCTAATTATTCATCATTAGCTAGAACTTATTATAATATGGCAAGAGCTTATGAACAACTTCAAGATTATCATAAAGCGATAAAACATGCCCAACGTTCTGCTGAAATGACTTCTCAAGCTTTTGCTCCTGATCATTCCGAAGTAATCGAAAATCAAAATTATATCGACCATCTTCGCAAAAAATTATAACATTTAACAAAATAAAATCAATCATCTTCTAAGTAATTTTATCATGAAAATTTTATTCTAGCTTTTCTAGATTTTATTCTATTTTTGTTTTATTAATTAAAATAAATAACATATTATCAAAAAGCTTTTAGTAATCAAAAATTTGTTCAGTAGACATTGGATGATGAAAATGAATTCAGTTTTTATTAATTTCTATCAATAGTTTCAGTAGGATCTAACAGAGTATGGATGTGGATACATCTACATCCTTGTTAACAATGGTACAACCTAATATATTCTTTAAATAAGTCTCTCCTATAACATATAGAAATTTTGAATTATTTAGTTCTAATTCATATCGTTCATGAACTCTCAATACATCGATATCACTTATTTTTCTTTGAGCAAATTTTCATATGATATTTTTATTTGACAACCAGACCTTTCAATTGTCTTTAGAAATGGAAGGAGCTTAAAATTAGATAGATAATCGGAGTTATTCTGTCTACCTTATTAAACTTGATAGATAGTTTTCCAACAATAACTCTAAATAATTGTAGACACGACATGAAAAATGGGCGAATAAGTTCTAGTCTATCTCGTATCGAGATCGATGTTAACAATAATAAAGAAATAATAATATGAATACTTAATAGATATTTATTTAATTGAAAAATAAAAAAAGAAAAGAATTTGAAAATCTAAATATTGAATTATTATTTATAAAGTTGAAATTGATCAGCAATATAATCATCATTATCATGATAATAAGTAAAATGTAAATAAGTTTTATTAGCAAATATAGTTGTATATCCAAATAGTTGATCATGAAATAAACTCCATTCAGCACCTGAATATGAACCTGTATCAAGATCTTGTCCAGCCATACCAATTAATACTTGTACTATACCATCATCAACACATTTATGTTGAAACATTCGACATGATCGTTCATATGAATGTCGATGTGCATAAAGATTAATATCAACATGATATTTATAAAATAATGGTTCGAAATATAATTGAAGCATTATTTTAATTAAATCTATTGGATTTTCAGATTCTGATGTATACATATGTCGATGAGAACCAACAATTAGCCATGGAGTACGAGAACGATTTACTGAACGAAGATCTTTTTCAATCCATTGATATTGATCAGATTGACGACGAAAATCATGTTCTGTTGAATAATAAATAATATGAATTGGACCAACATCAAAACTATACCAAAAAAGACTATTTCCATTTAATGGAGAATGAAAACGACGAACCATAGGAACAGCACATTCACCACCTGAATCATAACCATAATTACCCCTACAAATCAATTTCATTTCAAATCAATTTTAATACTAAATTAAATGTTATTATATCTGTCGCATGTTTGCAAAATTAAAATTTTTTTATTTAATATTCTATTCATTTCCCATTATTTGTTGAACACGAAACGATGAAATCTAATCATCTCGATTCCATCGAATCGTCTTTGGACAATTCACTGTTGACTAATTGCAACATATTTTAGTTTCGTTTACTGATCTAATTCATATAAAAATCTTACCATTTCGGTCTAAATCCTCCTGGACCTGATGCTCCACTTGGATCTTTATCTCCTCCAGTAAGATGATCATATTCATGGTTTCCAATTCCAACCATATAAGGTACACGAGCTGCTATTGCTTGTATTTGAGTCATAAATGCATCCCATAAAGCTCCAATACCTCGAGCATAACTTATATCACCAATATGAAGTAAACAAGTAACATTTGTTGATATAATACGTGATGTTACTCGATTAATTGTTGATTTAGCACCAAGTTGAACTGGTGATAAACCTAAATCGCCATAAGCAATTAAATAGACTGATTCATCTTTATTTTCAGGACGATTTCTAAATGAATATATTTGTGACCAACCATGTTGATCTGTTCCAACACGATAGAAATATGTTGTTGATGGATGAAGATTTTCTAATAAAATAGTATGCATATATCCAGGATGAATAAATGTTTGTGGACCCCATATATTTGCTTTTCCTTCACACATATCGGATGCTGTATAAGTTGTTGTTGTTCCATTTTGACATAAATTAAGTGACAATGGACTTAATCCATATTGACATTGAGGAATATATTCAGATGAATTTGTTAAATATGAAACATATATTTGATCAATACGATCACCATAAGCTAAATGAATATGTGTTGCTTCATTGTAATTTGATGGTTCGACTATAGAAGATTTGGCAATTAATGAATAATTACCAGAACAATTATGATCACGAGAATAGTAACGAAATTCAAGTTGACGACGTAAATTTGTCATTTGCCATGATGTACTATTTTCATCTTTTTTAACAAATTCATAGTCGAAATAACCACAAGCTAATTAAAACAACAAAAAGACATACATATATATATGTATTCTAAGTTTTTTTTTTTCCTCTGGTTATTTATTTATCTATTGATCAACTATTATGTAATAGAATATTTCAACTAATGAAAAATTTCTTAATACTCTTAACAAAAGTTAATGTGTTTCATTTTCAGTGTTTTTTTTCTTAATATATTAAAAGGAATTTTAAAGATATTAGCATATTGTAATATTCTTCTCCAGATTAAATATATTTACCGTCCAAGGGATCAATGTCAACAAAATAAATTCCAACAAAATCATCAACACACGGAACTAATGTTGGTGTCCATGTGATAGTTATTTGATCATTGCTTGAATAAACTGTAGCTGATACATTTATATTCATGATATTTAGACTTGTTGAAGAAGAATGAATCCCTGTACGGCGATTACATGTATATGGACTTGGTTCATCGCCTATACTATGATGTTTACCAAATGGTCCATTTGCATTTAAATGACGATCACCTACGACAAAACCTATAAATATTGCAAGAAAAACAAGCAAATACTTCATTTTATGAAATAAACTTGTCCCAAAACATTTTGTATCATACTACTATTTAAATTAGAAAAAATAAAACGATAAACAAACTGATAATATATCTTCCTTTGCTTTATCGAGAACATTCTATACTGATAATAAACATACTGTTGTGAACGAAAATCTCTTCCATAGTAGAGTTTTCTAGATATTCTAGAACATTTCATAAGATTAATATAAATACTCATCACTAGCCATCTTTGAATCATAATCACTGTCTAGTCTTTCGGCATTATTGTTAATCATTAGTTCTAATATACCTCTGACATTTAGCTTTAGCAGTGTATTAGTCAAGGGAAAAACAGCGGACTTGAAGTAGAAAAGTACGTCAAAGTAGACTACTTGAAGTAGTTCAAAGTACCACCCAAGTAGCCCAAAGTAGGAACAAGTAACTTATAATAACTTCAAGTAACATGAAGTAAATTTGAAATTGAAAAGTACTTCAAAGTAAGCTACTTGAAGTGACTGAAAGTAACTTCAAGTAGCTTAAAGTAAGTTCAAGTCCAAAAGTCCGCTGTTTCCCCCTTGGTACTAGTGCTATGGAAGTATATTTTATCTCAGCATTACGTTGAGTTCAAAAGTTAGTTATGAGACTGTGGCGAAAGCATTCTATTGTGATGGGACAATGCTGAAATATTGGCTCAAATGATGGAAACAGTCAAAAGATTTGATCGATTCAACCCGATCCGTTCGATGACGTGCAACGGCATAAAAACAGAATCAACAAATTATTTTACTCGCCAAACAACAGACATTCGTCACTAGTCGAGATATTGCAAACAAACTGAAGCCAAAATGAGTCTTGGTCAATGAGAGAACGGAGCGACGACGACTTAACGAAGCAGATGCAAAATACAATTGATTCATGTCGAAGCCATTGCTTACAGAAGGTCATTGTGAGAACAATTTAAAATGAACGTAATTTAGAACCTACAACGGAAAAAAGAGATCATGAACATCATCAACTATCCTATCAAAGTCAATATTTGGGATTGATTCTCAAGTCGAGGTTTTAGTCGCGTCATCTGTTTCAGACAGAACCTAAACATGAAATCAATGTATAGTATTTGCAAGTATGGTTTCTTACCAACAGCTCAGAAATAGTTTAGATATGATTCAACGTTGTGGAAACTGCAAGACAATAGCGATACCAAACATACGTCAAATCTAGCAATCAGCTAAGGAATAAATAATTCAGTTTATAAACCTGATTGGTCATCGATGGTATCTGATTTTGTATCCATCGAATATGTTTAACAAATCCTCAAAATGAAGTTATCAAGCAAAAGAGCTCACAACTCATCAATCGTTGATTTCTTGCAATAAAACACGAATGGAAGGCTCAATCATCAAAGTTGCACATCAAACTTGGACATTCTATGAATAATCGAATTTTTGCAGTTGATAAAAGTCACGGTGATTTTATATTACATGTATGACCGAAGTGTACTATGAGTTTGTAGATTTTTATTTAATCAGTTAATTTAGTAAAATTCGTCTAGAGGGAAACTTTTATTCGCTACTGTACGAAACATACCATATTCATCATCGAGAATAAAATTTAATCAAACGTTTTGAAAATACATTTTTATTTAAATAATTACTGTTTAGAGAAATATCTTATCGTTCATACTTTTGACAAAAAAAAATGTCTTTGAAAATTAAAAATAAGTTTTCCAAAATGGAAATACTCTTTATCGAAATATTCATCAATTAAATCTTTCTAGATAATATAAATGTTTCTAATTATTAAAAATATGTAATGAAAAACTATATGGATGTTCGAGTCTATGTAATTAACTTAATAATGAATGAAAAAAGAAGAAATTATACAATAGAAATTTTAGTTTCATCATACGGATTTACTTTAAATACAATAAGAAGTCTTTAGATAAACATTTCTATTAACATGATGATATACACCTATATTTTAGTTAACTATTTTCTTATGATTATAATATGTTATTAAATTATAAATTTTTGATTTTAAGATTATTATATTATTAAATTTGATTATGATGAAAACATGATTATTGCGGCTTTTTTATCAATGTATTATTTATTTTGATTATTAATCAAATTTCGAATAATATGATTTTTAATTGATAATATGATTATATATTTTTTATTATATCATAGAATGTTATTTTTGTTATTTTTTTCATGATCATCTCTTTTTATATTTTCCTTTTCTTTTCTATACTCTTCTATATAGATTAATTTTCGTTATCTTCGCTGATGATGATCGTACATAATAAAAGATTGAAAATTTCAGATTTGGAAAATAAAAATATACTTTATATAATTTCTTCTTTTTTTATTCATTATTAAAAAGAAATATGTAATCTTTGTAGAAATCTACATTATTTATCTAGTGATTATCATTTCTATAAATGAAAATTGAAGATGATTCATTGAAATTTAATGAATATAGTTTAATGTTGATCATGAAGTATCGATAGATAATGAAAACTTTGGTTATTATCGCCTATTTTTAATTTTATTTGAAACTAAAACGCAAAAAATGTTAGTATTGACAAATATGAAGGAAAGAAAAATGAAAAATTTGAGAACAATACTTAATGCACTCGAAAATATTGACACAGTATAAAATAAAACAAAATATTTTCAAAGAAAATGGAACAGACAAGAAACTAATCAAAATGATCATGACAATAATTATATATTCTTTAAGAAAATCTCTTTTATTCAATTTATATTTATATGATTTATATAAAGAGTTAATTATAAGAATTGAATGATAGTCCTATTTGTTCTTTATTTATTAAAAAAAAAATATCTTGCTAACAGATGTAACAATTGAGATTTATAAAAAGCGAAAATTTTAATTATCTACGTTTTTTTTTGAGAAATATATTTCGTGAGATTTGAAGCTTCAAAAAATTTCAAAAGATCATTATGATTTCTTTTATATGTTACTAAGAGTCCGTCAGTAATTAACATATTTTTATTTTTATGATTATAAGATATTGTTTGATTTTTAAGAGTTGTCATACTTCCATGATTTGCTCTTAATATAGCATCAGGAGCACAAACATCCCATTTTTTAATTGGAGTTATATGAAGATAATAATCAGCATATTCTTCCAATACTTGAACTGTTTTATAACCTAAAAAATTAAAATGAATTAAAAAATGATGGAAAATAAAACTAAAAATAAAACCTGATCCAGCAGCTGGAATAATTTTATATTGTTTATCACGATAAATATTTTTAAGAATTTCATGAGCATGACCAGCATGTGAACGAGATAAAATAATTTCATCAATAGATGGTTTATGAGCTTCTAAAAGAATATTTTCATCTCGTTTAATAGGTGAATTATCAACACCAACCCAAGCCCATACTAAGATAAATAAAATTATTTTTATTTTATTTAAATTTTATTTTCTTCTTTTAATAAATTTACTTAATTTATCAGTAAATGGTGCATAAAGAATTCCAATAGTTGGTTTTTGTTCGATTGTAATACATAACATAACCATGACATATTGAAGAAGATCCTCTAAATAATCAATAAACTTGTTTAATTATTTATTTATTATTATTGTCAATGATCAATGTTTGTTAAACTGGATATCCGAAATGAAATCTAATTATATTCAAAATCTTAGTTCAATTTTTTATTGAATTCTAAAAATGTATTCGATATTATTTTTTAATCTACTTTTTTTTTTCGTTGAGGAATAGAAATAAATTTAATTTGATACAAAATATGGATAAATGTACTTTGTTCACAGAAATTTTTCATATGATGCTTTTTATTTTCTAAAAAAAAAATGTTTTTTTGTTTATCAGTGACATTATATTAGTACTATTTATAGAAACAAAATAATCAAAAGCCAAAAAAAAACACCCATGAAAGAATAATCGAAGCATTATTTTTCACATATATAATGTATTTTATTTGAAAAAATTTTTGGTATTTCCTTCTTATAGATAAGAAATTCATTTTAATTTTTTATTACACAGGAGAAAGTGAAATCTATATGAATCTACCTTATCTAAAAATACATATGTATTCAGCCCTGATTTACGATCAATATCAAAGCACAACTTAAGTAGCTAGATGTCAATCAACAGAAAAAAAAACACGAAAACATTTTAACCAATTACTCAAATAATATATTCTCGTCATCCTACATTGTTTATTCAATAATTATTATCCATATCAAACCTCAATGTACTCAATTAAAAATGGAATAAGTCAACAATAGTATATTTTATTGATCTCCTATTTGCAATAGTAGAAGAAGAGAATAATCGAATATTAATCTATAGAAAATCTGATGGTGTTTAGTTACTAATCAGGGTTATAAAAGAGATTAATTTTGAAAAAAACAGCTTCAATTACTAATTAATGATAATAGTCTTTCTATTTTTATATATAGATTACTCTGAAAATATTTCATTAAATGATTCTACAAATTTATTGTATTGATCTTTGACTTTTCAGTTGCTCATGATGGAAAAATGGTCATGTCTTTTTTTTAAAATTTACCTATAAAAAAAAGAAAAATGATCCAATGACTTGTGAATTCAATCGATTCTTTATAAATATGATCCCTTTCGTGACTCTGACAAGTTACTTAATCCCATCTTTCGATGTTGTCCTTCTCAATTTATTCTATTTTTAACCGAATATTTTTAGGTTTGCTCTCAAGATGAATTATTCAATGCAATATGCAAAATAGTCTTTTTTTAGTTTGTCTATTATTAAGAATAATTTTCATGAAAAAAATTTTTTTCTAATTTATGAATGAAGTTATATAAAAATTTGAAAACTTAAAAGGTTATTTTTAACATTTTCTATCTCATGTTATCAAATAATTATCATAATCAAATCATTTTTGTTGGATATGGGTCAAGAAAACCTTTTCTATGCAATTGCGATTATCATTAGCAAAAGAAGAAAAACAATTAAATTGGATTTTTTTTTACAGAATATTTTAGACATATCTGATCGAATTAATATTAAAAATTTAGAAAGAAGATTTCGAATAAGGAGAGTTACACTTCTTTATTTCTAAAGATTTCATGTAAATATATTGGTCTTATAAATCATCATTAAAATCGGAGGATATAAACAAGCAGAAAAAAAACATCGGATGGAAATATTGAATATAAAATGATAATAATACCTGTAAATTCTTTAGTTGCATCTAAAGGATCAACCCAAACAGCAACTGATGATAATGGAACGTTCATTAAATTTTGATCATATTGAATAAATGGAATTTTTGGAAATTTATCTTCAATATTAAATTCTTGTTGAATTAATTGAAAATCTTTATGATTAATTTGATCTTTTTCTTCTGATATAATCTTGAAAAATGAATTAAAATAAAAAAAAAAGAACAATGGTCAATTGATTTTAATATAAACTATAAAAATACTTGGAGATTTTGAAATTTATTTTTTAATCCATTGGTTATTATTGAATGTGAAATAAAATCTGCAACTGTAACAGGTTCACTTGGTAAATTTCTAAATGATTTTTTTTTAAGAATTTTTTTAAAATTGTTTTTTGTATTTTTTATTATTTTAATTGTTTGTCCAGCTTGATATGTTAATTTAAAAGCGTCATTAAATAAATCAATTAAATTTATATCTTCATCATTATCCATTTCAATATTTTCAATTAAAGTTTTTTTTCTCTGAGAATATAATATTAGAATTAACAAAAAACAAATTATAAAAGCCAACGTCAATAATGAATGATGAGGACGAATTTTAACACCAAACATCGAAATTACATCTAGCATCTTCAATAAAAGAAAAAGCCCCAATAATCTATTATGTCTTTTGGTTTTTCTTTAAACAAACAAGAAAAAAAAACGAACAGAAGAGAATGATAGACAATGAAAATTATGAAGATATTTGATGAAGTAAATTAATATGATTAGGTGATGTTGAGATAAATTGTTCGAAAAAAGATAATTGAGATGGTTTATAAATTCTTAATAATGAAGAAGCATCTTTTAATTTATACCAATGTCTTTGTCGATTAATTAATCTTTTATCATCCCAGTCATCATATTCTTCTTCAACATAAACAACATAGACAGTTGTTCGATGTTTTCTTTCAAGATTTTCAAAAACGCCTAATTCTCGAAGAATACGTCCTTTAACACCTGCTTCTTCATATAATTCTCTATGAGCAGCATCTGTTGTAGTTTCATTTGGTTCAACACCACCACCTGGAACTATCCATGATGATTTATCACGATGAGATGTTATTAATAATATCTTTTCAAAATAAATTTTGTTTGTAAAAAAATTTAAAAAAAAAAATTTATTTTTTTGCTTCTTACTTCATCTTCATGTTGACTTCTTACACAAATACAAGCAGCTCTTTGTCGATAACCATCATCATCAAAAAAACGCATTTTGTTAGGATCCTTTTCATAATGATTACCTGTCATTTCGATAAGAGAAAAACAAAAAAACAAACAATTCTGTATGAAAGACCCAATCAAAAAACAGAAGGTAAATACAAAAAAAAAATCACCAAAAGATAAACAATAGACTAGACAATATCAACACAATTTATATAAATCAGTTCGAAAATGAAAACATTTTTTAAGATAGAATATTGATACTAACTTGCCCGAAGACAATGACGATTATCAATTTTCAAATTCTTTTTTATATAACGACAATCGAAAATATTCTTCATTGCCTCATTATACCAAATTTTTTTTTCTTTTTTTTTTTCTTTTTATCTAAAAATTAATTTATTCATTGAGACTTCGTATAAATATAAATAACTAAACAATCGTAAAATCAGTCCACTTTTTCTCAATGGTTAAATACACAATTCAATCATTTACGTTCTCAAAGAGATGTCACTAGTTTTTGTGTTTTTGTTTTTAATTTAGTATTATCGCTTACTAATACGAATATATTCATTAGGGTTTCAATCAAACTGAAATATTATTAACAAAATTTGTACGTACCTTTCATATTTATTTTTACTATGAGAGACTTTTACTAAGATATGAATCAATATATCATTTAATCTCGATCTTTTATACTTATAACAGATAATAAAACAATTCTTTGACCTTGTTTTCTCATAGAAAACATAAAAAGGAGAAAGTCTATTTGGTAATAAAAGTGAACAAAGTCTATTGATTACTGGATATTATAATGAATTCCTAGAATGACTGGATATTCGAGGTGAATGATCAACAAAAGATGACTCAATCAATATAAGAATTTTAAAAGAAAATATTAAATAAATAGTTTTAGTTTTTCTTAAAGTATTTCTTATTTCGATCTCGAAAAGAAAAAAAACACTCAAATATGTCAAGAATAAAAATCTGTTTTTTACCTTTTGATAATTTGTGTCTGTGAGTATAAATAAGGTGTATACCTTATGTAGGAGTCTATTTTATTGATGATTGATGATTTATTTGATGAAGGAAAACAAAACTTAAAGAGTCAATAGTCGATCTTTTTTTTTTTATTTCATATCTGACTTTTTCCTATTAATTTCGTCTAGCTGTTGGCTGATAATATTGCATATTTTTTTCTCTTGTTCGCCTTTTATCGACGGCATTAGAACATAGCAAGAGATGAAAAGCAGCCATTAGAGAAAGAGAGAGAGAGAGAGAGAAAATGTAATGATGACGTTTGTGTTTTTCGACAGAAGCAGAAATAATAAGTCGTCTGTTTATTGCAACTGATGCGAATGACATATGTTAGTTGTACATAAGAATTTCATTATCCATAGATATATATATCCCATTGATCATGCAAAAAACAACAAACAAGAAAAATTTTTTTTTTTTTCGTATCTATTTAAATGAATATTTCTATCACACTTGAATAGATTCCAATCGAGAAACAAAAAAAAAAGGTAATATCACAAAAAAAAAAATAAAATAAAAGGAAATCACAAAAGTTCTAAGGCATATAAAGATAAATAAGGCGAAGGTGATGAATGTGAAGAAGACAAAGAAGAATCTTCTTGTAATGATTTATGAAATAATAAAAGTTGTTGATCAACTTGAGTTAGTTTTTGTTTAAGTTTTTTAAGAATTTGTTCACGTTGAATTAATTTTCTTTTTATTAATAAACTTTTTTCATTGAATTTATTCTTATTTCCATTTTCATCTTTTTCATTTAAAACTAAATTTATTTTTATTTTTATTCTTTTTGTTAAATTTTATTAAATAAAAAAAAAAACTTACGATATGGAGTTGAAAGATTATTATTTGTTAAAATTTTTGATTTTGATGGAATAAAATAATGAAAAAAATCTTTAATAAATCTTGAACTTTTATCTGACATTGAGCAAAATATTGAATCTGTTGATTTTGATGAAACAATTTCATCTGTTCGTCGAGGAATTTTTTCATTTAATAACAAATCAATTGAATATGATCGATTTAATTTATTTCGTCGACGAATTCTATTAAAAATATTTCATATTAATTTACAATAAATACAAAACAAATCATGCCATTCAAAAAATAAATCACGCATACAAAAAGAAAAAAAACCATGGATTAGGGACGAACGAGCAGGATGGACGAGGAGAAAACCAAGCTCAGCTTACAATTAATACGAAAAAAAAACACGAACAAATTTAATTTGGACGAACAACGCTGGAATAAAATTTTTTTTTTCTTTTGTCTTAACAAAATAAATATTTAATAGTAAAATAAAAATACCTTTTAACAGATATATTTATTGGTTTTGATGTTTGTTGATCATTTGTTGTTGGACTTGGTTGAGGATTTAATGATGATAATGTATCAAGTAATAATGTTGATGACCATCGTCTTTTAGCTGCATGAACGATATTTTGAATTATTTCACCTGGTTTTGTTTCCGTATTTGATGATGTTTCAGGATCAACTGTTCCATGACTTATTACAGGAGGTAAACGAGGCATTTGAGGATTTATTTCAATTGGTATTGAATCATATGAATTATCATTAAAAAACCATTCATGCTAAATAACACAAATACATTTTATTTTCATTTTTACAGATTTTTTACGAAAATAAACTCGACTTGTCTCACACATATTATTGATTATTTTGAAAATATTTATATTATGACAAAATATCATTGTTTTCATTCTATGTTTAGAGAAAAAAAAATATTCGAAATGAATCTTTTCAAGATAATCTATTAAAATCGAAATCATTGGAATCCATTTTTAAAAAAACATTAACCTTAAAATCTAGATGTTTCCCTTCTTAGTTAATAAGACTTGACATTTTACAGTCAAATAAAAGCTTTCACCATTAAATTGTAGATTGTCTGACTGAAATACTCGAAAGTTTATCGAAGATGATTCCAATCGAATACTTTAGCACTGGTTTTTTTCTCTGACGATTGGATAAAGCTCATCGAATTCCATAACAATAAATATATTTCAAATATAAGAGTAAATAAAAATTAATTTCGAACTTTTATAAAAAATATTTCTTTTCAATTTAAAATATAACTTTTTCCTATGCAACCCAATTAGCTCTATATAATCATCATGAAAAAAGTTCTGCTGAAATTTTTAATTGCAACAACCTTCTATATATTGGAAATAACTTTAAAAGTCGAATATCTCACTCCGACAACCGTTATTTTAAATTTGTTAGTTTGCCGATGAAAGTTTTTATTTGATTGAAATATGTCTAGTCTTATTAACTAACGACACAACCACATACATTCTCCATTATCAGTTTGTGTAGATAAAAAAAAAAAACGAAGATCTAATACTTCTAATGATGAAAATATTTATTCACTATTTGTAAAACTTGTTTACAACGCCAATTTCTCTTGTTTTTATTGATGTCTCACTGTTTTATATAGTCGATCTCTCTTTATCCGACTTCCTTCACAATATTTATCTTAGCTGAATTAATCAAGCCAATTATTTAAATATTCTTTTACATTTATTTCCAATCGGGAAATAATAAAAAGAAATTCGAAATAGATATATTATCATCGAATTTACTCATCACTTTCACTTCTACAAAATTCATTCTCAATAGATAATATATCATAATAAAATCTCTGATATAAAGGTAGAATAATTGCCTATTAATTTCTAAGATAGCCTCTATTTCGTATTAATCTTAAATATTTGTTTGAATCTGTCAAAAATGTTTTTATTTATATGTATATAAATAGATAAACAAACTAGATAATATATTATCGATTTGTAAAACTAGTGAAGAAAGAAAAAAACATGTAAACATACATATAAAATAAATGATTCAATAATTCGAATTTTTTCTGGATTATCAACAAGATTTAATTGTAATGATGCTTTTGAATCCCAAATTAATGTTGGTCCAAATATAATAGCTAAATTTCTTGCATCAATCTATTTATAAAAAAAAAAACACAAAAGTCACTAAATAGAAAAAAATGAATGCATAAAAAAATAAAAATCAAACTTTATTAATATCACATTTGGAAGCAACTCTTCGAAAATGAGCACATAAATATTTTAATGTTTCAAATCGATAATCATCTAATTGAACAACAAGTCGTTTTAATTCAACTACACGTTCACAATGATTTTCAATTCGACTTGCTTCAACACATAAACTACTCATCTCTAGAAAAATAATCTTTTTTTATTATTTAAACAATATTTAAAAAACAAACTTGATGATAAAAGTGAATCAGGTAATTTAGCAAAAAATGTTTTTAATGTTGATGCAATAGCTTTAACATCATACCATTTTTCGGAATTAAAATCAATATTTTCTGCTCCTTTATCTAATTCATTAACAAGCCAATTAACAGCAGTTAAACCTCCAGCATGTCTATAAATTCCTTGATAATTAATTCCACGTAATTCAATAAGACGTGTTAAAATTTCGACAACAATTGGAATATAACGTGATATTGATGATATTTCACATTCTTCTAATTCAATACCAAAATTAATTCCTTGAGAAAGTGTACATGTACCTGTTGTTGATGATAATGATTCTCCACTTGATTCATCATAAATTTGTCCACTCATTTGACTTGTTAATAATGATGATGACGATTTTAATGTTCGAAGACCTTTTTTTACAATTGATTTAACAAATGAACGACGAGGTGATGTTACATTTCCACTATTTGGAATAGAATTTGTTCCACTTAATGAAGGAATTGCTTGGGCTGGTTGAGTTATTGAAGATTTTTGAGATTTACGAAAACGAAGACTTGGACTACGTTTTAATGATGGACTTCGAAATGTATTTTTAGATTTTGAACTTGATTTACGGTGTTCACCACTTGGATATGATAAACTAAATTAAGAAAAACAAAAAAAAAATTCTTTTTTTTTAAACAAATATAAATAAAATGATCACATTCGAATATTCTCAACAACAAAAAAAAAACAAAATAATCATTATGAACTTTCTCATACCAATTAAATAAAAATAAGAATTTAAAAAAAATTAAAGTTATTCATTATTAATTATTTATTTATTCAAGAATAAGATTTTTTAGAGGAACAGGTGAAAAAAACAAATGTTCTCCAGATATAAATTAACGTGTTGTTACTGTTTTATAAACTGACATTTTATTTTCTATTTGACATTTCCATCAACTGATTTTATTTTTTGTTTAACATCATTTTCTAGACAAGTTAATCAATTTATTTTTCATATAAACATCTGTAATGTCTGGCAATTGAAATTATTTTAGGTCGACCGAGTATATTCAACCTTATATGTCTCATCAATTGAACTCAAACAAACTCTTCAACTATTTATCTTTCATAAAAAAGATACAACAATAATTATATTCTTTATTGACATCTCTATCAGATTTCTAAGAAACTTAATTTATTGTCTTGAAAGGTTTTTTTTTTAAAAAAAATATTATCTGTAAATAGAAAAGAAAAAGCTTGTAAATCTTACTCTTGATCATGATGAGTAGGTGCAATAGGTGGTAATGAAGCAGTACTTTTTCTGTGTTTTTTATCTTTAATATTGTCAGTAGTTTGTTGATTATCTTGTCCTAAATAATTATTAAGAGAATGTTCATTAATAAGATCTAACCATTCATTTAAAGATTGTATATCTGGTGCTTGAAATAAAAATTCACTTTGATTTGCTGTTGTTACTTTAAAAACTCTTGGTTTTTTAATATAATCACTTGCTAATTCAACATCAGCATTTTGAAGATTAATTGGAAATGAATCACATGAAAGTGGAATTAATAATCCATGTTTTTTTTCTTTACCAAGAAATAAAGCTCCACGTCTAAGCACAGCCCATGCTCCACGCCATGAACGATCAAGTGCACGACGACCTTCTTTTAATAGAGTTTTACAATAAAGTATTCCTTCTTTTGATGCTTCTAAATTATCAGTCATTGTTGTTAATCGAATTGATTCTCGAGTATTTAGTGTTCCATCAATAGTTGAACCATCAAATATTGAACCAGATTTTGATTGACCACCTGATGATGAATGTGGAGATAATGGAGATTGAGATAATGATGGACGATGTTCCATTTCATTATTCGTTTGCCCTAACTTTATTTATTTTAAAAAAAAAATACACATATATATATATATATTTTTTTTAGTTTCATTTAAATAAATTTAATTTACATTTTCACCAAAGAAGTTTTTTAATTTTTTAATTCCTTGTGTTTGATGTTGAGGAAGATTTCTAAAATAAAATTTGGTTTGTTTTGGTTTTTGTTAAGAAAAAACGAAATAAACCTTAATTTTTGTGCTTGTTCTCGAAGAATATCAAAAGAATTTTGAGTTTGTCTTATTGATTGATTATTAAAATTGGAAGAAAGATAATCTCCTCGATTAGATGGTAAACGTTCTTCATTAGGAATTAAATAAGGTGTTCGACGTTGTTTCATTTCTTGTTCTGATGTTGAGGGATTTCCAAATTGAGATACTTTTAGATTTTTTTTAAAAAGAATTTATTTTATTAATTGAACAATGAAAAAAAAAAAAGAAAACTAATTTAAACATACCAAAATCTGGTTGTTCACTTTGATTTGCTGATCGAACAGCAGTTATATATGATGGTTGACGAATTAAATTAACTCCAGTTCGAGATGATGAATTATTTGGATAATTTTCTAATGAAAATCGTGAACTAAATTTATTTTAAATTAAATAATAAAAATAATAAATAAATAAATAAATAAAACCTTTCAGTTGGTGCTAATGGATTATAATGAGAAGTTGTTGTTGATTGAGATTGATTTGGTCGAATTTGTTGAACCATATAACGTGGATCAAAATTAAATTCAATATTTCTTAGTTCACCAACTAAAAAATATGAATTTTATTTATCTTATAAAAATACTTTGAGTTATATGAAATAACTTGACTATTTATATGATTTAATAAATGACAGATGTAAATATTATTTATAGAAAGGATAAGGAGTATAATTAAAATCTATTGATGTATTTAGTAAAAAAAGAATGGTTAAGTTAATGATAAAAAGAAAAAACAGATATGAACTGTTTATTGTCATATAAAAGTTAATATAGTAAAAAAAAACGATAAAAATAACAAACCTCTTGGTGTAGTTAATGAAGAAGATGAATCAATAGAAGAATGTCTTGTTGATGGTTTAATCATTTTATATGGTGATTGTGTTTGAGAATCATAAAAATGATTTGGATTAAAATCATAAAAGAAAATATCTTGAGGATCATAATTTTCATTCATTTGTGGTATTGTTGGAAATTTTGATTTTAATCTTGCAAATTTATCTGGATCAATATCTTCAAAATGTGATGCACGTTCCATAACTGTTTCAACATCAGCTACTGCAGTTAAACGATTCCATTCATTTTCATATTTTTTCTTTTCCGAATATTTTTTTGTTTTAGATTCACGTTGAGGATCACGAACAATATTTTCAACATGACCTGTTTCAAATTGTTTTTTACGAAAATTAACAAATTCAGTTTTCATATCATTTTCATTTAATGATGAACGTTTTTCATTTGAAACAATTTGTGTTGGACTTTCAATTGTTATTGAATCTGATGAAGGAGATTTTAATTCTTCTTCATTTTCAATAATCATTGAATTTGGTATTGATCTTGAATATATATTTGTTGAATTCCATTCTTCATCTTTTACAATATTATTTAATGGAAAACGATTTTCTCCAACATTTACATAACTATTTAATGATGGATTTATCACAGGCAAATCTATACAAAATTTTTATTTTTTTTTTTTAGAATATTATCATTGATTAAATAGATTCAAAAATAAGAAAATTTTTTTTTCTTCGGAATATATCCTCATTCGAAAAACAAAAAAATCTCAAAATTATATCTTTTAATTGTCTATGGAGAAAGCGAAATATTTTAATTGTTTAGATAAAACGATTAATTCAACTATTATCACCCAGAAAAAAAATTACTTTTTTTCCACAGTTATTTTTATCAGTTACTCTCATTCGTCAGTTAATATATTTTCCTCTAAAATTGTTCTCCAGTTGATAAGAGAGACTGACTCATCCGATATATATATATATATATACATATATCAGTTTAATATATTTGATAAACGATGGCATGTTCCTATCAAGTCCTTCTCATGCTAATTGATATATGATTAATTATCTCTAATTTTAACAAATTGATCGAGAATATATGGTAGAATTTTGTCGAAATTATTAAGGTAAGCAAAAAAAACGTAGCAGTTAACTATGAAAAATATCTTCTAACTATATCGAAAACTATGGAACAATTTTTTGTTAATATGATATTAATTTTAAAATAAAATAAAAAGGCAAACAAACTTTGTCTAGGAGGAACTGGTGGTCGAACAATATTTGCTATAGGTAATGGAGGATTTATATTATTATTAATATAATTTCGTTGTTCATTTGGTTGACTAAAATTAATTTGAAAAGTTGGTTGTCGTTTATAATCATATTGTATATATGAATTATGATAAGGAGATTCATAATATAGATTTGTTGCATCTACTTTAGATTGTTGTTGAGATTGTTGTTGTTGTTGTTGTTGTTGTTGTTGTTGTTGTTGTTCTGGTTGCTGCTGTTGTTGTTGTTTAGATGAATCTAAAGCTTTATGTACTGAATCAATATAATTGGAAAAAGCATTTTGTTGTTGCTGCTGTTGTGATGATGATGATGATGATGTTTGAGGAGGAAAATAAATTCCAGCTTGAGCAAGTTGTTCTTGTGTTCGACCTTGAGCTAAATTAATTTGTAAATTTCTTAATTTTTGTTCAATTGCATTATTATGCATAGTTGTTGTTGAAGGATTATATAATGATGATGATGAATGTGATAATGGATTTGTTTTTAAACGAGATTGATTTAAATTAAAATCATTATAAAGATTTTCTGTTGAATTCTTTTATAATAATAATAATAATAAAAAAAGAAGAAAAACCTAATATTCGTAATAGAAGCAAACGAGAAAGATACATACTAATGTACGATTATCATCTTCTTTTGGTACAACATTGAGAACAAGATCAGCAGGACTAGAAAAAAGAAAAGAAAAAAAACGCGAAGGATGCCTAACCTTTTTTCTCTATGTAGAATCTATTTAGGAAAGAAGAAAGAAAAATAACTAACGCATTTTGTATCATAGCAATAACTTGTGAATAAGTTTTTCCAGAGATTGATTGATCATTAACAGTTAATATTTGATCACCTTGTCTTAAACCAGCTGCATAAGCTGGACCATCATGTCGAACTTCTTTAACAAAAATAGTATCGATTGATTGAAGATTTTTATTGGCTTTATTTGGCACTGTTGTTCCATCTTCTTGAATATTATCTATAACAAAAACAAATCTTCTCTTATAACATAGAACATCCATCATCAATCATTAAACAACGAGAAAAAAAAAGAAATAGACGCCTAACAGATATCGTCTTCTTCTTTTTTTTTCTTGTTCGCTTCGTTTTTTTTTCTTGTCTTGGTATCGTTCTTCTTTTTTTTTTTTTTCTATTTACCGTTTCCGAGATTTTTCATGGCAGAAGATGATAATGATGATGACGATCGTTGTTGTTCTCCTTGATGATGGATGAGACTACCCGATGATGACGATAAAATACCGGAAGGAACTATTGATGATGATGATGTTGTTGTTCCTCCTCCTCCTCCACTTGCTTCCAATTGCTTTTGCTGATGTTCATCGATCACCACACTGTACGAAGCCTATCACATTACATTATATACGTTAGTCTTTACCTTCAATACTTCGAACATGACGTCACTCTTTTTTCTCTCAAGGACATTATTCTAATTGTGGTGTAGAATGAATGTAGAAAAGATGTTAGTCTGTCTCAATTAAGATAAGAAATCGCATAAAAGGTTTGTTATGGTTGAATACAAATAAATAAATTTCCAGTTGATATAGTTATTTATTTTCTTTTCTCAATTGATTATATTAAATATGAAACAACCCAATTGATATTTATGTCAATTGAAAAAAGAAAAAGAAAAAGAAATAATATTTTACTCGGATTTTTGTTTTTTCAGATCTCAAATTTTTTGTTTGTTTGTTTTTTTAATTAAGAAAAAAAACAAAATATATTGAATTTTCTTTTTCTTTTTTTTTTGTTTATTTTAAAAATAAAATTTTACCCGTAAAATGTCATTGACAGAAACTGATGGTGGATAAATAACAAAATGACGAATTGTAAAACCAAAACCACCACCTGCATAATCATTTGATCGAGGTACTAAGATTTTTTTTATTTTTTTCATTTCTCTTTAATTATATTTTTCTATAAAACAATAAGAATGAGTTTACAAAAAAAAAAAAATTCTTATTATAATTTACCTTTGAAAAAAAAACCAATGAGAAATATATTGATAATACATTTGTCTTCTTATTGAGGAAGAGATTTTTCTGAAATATAGAAAAGAAAAATATTCTTCTATTTATCAATTCTATTTTCTATTATTTTCTCTTTTATTCATATATTGATTAGACAAGAATAAATAAGAGAAATGTGTCAAAACAGGGGATAAACGACAATACAGAATAATAATACGTTATCGACTCGTTCTATTCTATCGAGTCACTCTCATCTTGGGAGATAATAATAAATAAACCAAGATATTTTATTTGATTTTTTTTCTATTATATGTTTATCTTTAGTTTTTCAAGGTTTAACATATAAATATTTGTATAGAAACAAAAAGAAAACTTTATTTAATGGAAAATTTTAAAATCAATTTAATTTTTATCTTTTAAAAAATCTCAAACATTCATTATTAATTATTTGATAAAATAAGAGAAAATTCTATTCAATGATATATAACTATAAATTGATCAATATGATAAAAAGAGATCTTATTATTATTTGATTATTGATGAAAATCTTTTATTATATTCTATATTGAGATACTCACTATAGAATATAATCATATTGATGAGAAAATATTCAATCGAATAATAAAAGAATTTTTTTTTCGTTTATTATATTATAAAATGAAAAATCTAACTAAGTTTATTATTAGATCATTATTATCTATATGAGAAATAAATAAATTATACTGTTGAAAGATAAATTAACCTTGAATACACATGTTAATATCAAATGTTGTTATTCTCTCTCTCGATGACAAATGTATCATCTGTAAACAGATGATCACAAGACATAATTCAATGCAGACAGATACTTTTTACTACAACCTTATGATGGTGCATAGAACGATTAGTGAGTTAATGTGCATCGACCATGTGGTCAAATGTGGTTATTTATTTATCTAACTATAGTGAACTACTATTAGTAATAAAAAAAAGAAAAAAGGCAGAGTGTATTTGTTCAAGCTTTGGAAGAAGAAGAAAAAAGTCAATTATAGGTGATGGTGATGAAGGGCAATGAAAGAAAAGAAGAAAAAAAAATCATTCTTGTTATATATATATTATTGTATGAATAGAATATCTAGAAAAAAGTAATGTCAAAATGGACCAAAGAACTACCATATGATGACATTCCATGTCAAATCTTTTTCTTTTTTTCTCCTCCAATTAGTAGAATGAGGTTAGACAGACGGAAGTGTGCATTTATGTTTATGGCTCCAGGAATGTATAAAAAGCTCACAAATCAAAGAAAAAAAGAACAAAGGTGTTTAAATAAGGCATATGTCTCTTTCTGGTAGACGAAATGATTATCACAAATGGACAAATATAAGATTCATTAAACAACAAAACAATTATTTTACTTATAAAAAATAGGAATATTCTCTTTCGCATAAATTATATTCAATAATATATCGAATTTAAATTATTATTTAATAGATGATTTGATCATTTCCATTTTATTGATTAATTCTTATAGTGAATTAAAACGATTTCCTGAGAAAGAAAAAAAACCATTGAACAAGTACAATATAATCAGAATCAAAAAAAACAAAACTAATCTTTCCACAATTTTGTGTTTTTTTTTTAATGAGATGCACAAAAGAAAAGGCATATGCCTATATAACATACCTTATCAAACGAAACTAATATGAAAACTTCACAATGCTAAAAGAACAGTGAAAAAAGAACGTTTTCTATTTGTCCTTGATCATTTTATAGAAGTGCAATTCTAAAAAAAAAAAACATTATAAAATATGACGAAGAAGGACAAGCAACTGTTTGTCATCAATCGCTAAAAATAACAAGAAAAGACTAACTGAGTATCTAATTTTGGTTACCTCGGAATCTTTTACCTATTTTTTTTTGTCTTTCTCCGTCCAGTAACACACAATATATATATATATATATTCTGATTAGACTTTCGATAAGATGATGTGAGCAATGAATGTATTACATAATCAATTGATCGGAACACAAAGAAAAAGAGGAGTTGACAGTCTCGTCTGATGACATACTTTGAACTCAACATGGAACGATTAGACTCTCTCATAAATAGAAGCAGAAAAAAATCAATTACTTTTTTTTTTTTCTTTTCATTTGTTGTCTCATCTTACCTACTCTCATCACAGAACAATATGACCACTTTAATAGACGATCAACAGATTATACCTATACAGACCTATTTATCACAACATTATTACCAATCAAACAACATCATCATCATCATCATCATCTTTGATCGTTAAAAATCAATCTTTTTCTCATTTACTCTTTTATTTCACAACATTCAATCACTTGTCATGGTTCATACAGAAGTGAAATAAAATATGAACAAATAATAAAAAAGTTAAAAATAAATATTTCTTTCAATAAATCTCATTTAAATAAGTCATATGAAATAATTAGATAAAAAAAGTTTATAGATCTACTAATTATACTCACAAAATCTCATATATGTTTGTATAGATAAATAGAGAGGTAATGAGTACGTATAGATTGTTTATAGATAAATAAGAATTGGTTGGAGTTGGTGTTACTGTTTGAAGAAGGACGTGTCAATGATAATGTCTTCGTTTCCTACTGTCTCGTTATCCTTTTCTTTTCTTGTTGTTATCAGCATCCTTCTTCTTTTAGCAGACATCATCAAGATTATTGCCGGTTAGATTTGTTTCTTGTTGTGTTGTTCTTATTCTACTATCGAACAACTTTTCTTCTTATTCTTCTTCAAGATCAATGAAGAAAAAAAAGAAGACATGTCATATTATGACATAAACAGACAATTAAAGAGACACATCAGTTTCCAAGACAAAAAAAAACATGAGAACAATTAAATATACATTGGCAATATTCGAAAAAATACTTTTTCATTTTTTCTAAAAAAAAAAAACAATAAAATATTAACAAATTATTTAACTCTATATATATTATAATAAATAGAAAATAAAAATAGATAAATTATTTATTTTATAGAATAGATTCGATAAAAATCTTGGTTAGTTATATAAATGAAAGAAGAATCTCTCTTCTCATATAATAAATGTGTCAACTCATTAGTTAGATTTTATGGTAAAGAAATAGATTTTCCTAGGAAAAATATCTTTCATCATTAAAAGATAATACAAATACAAGAAAACTCGAACAAACTCTTTACCTAATCAGTTCGATTATATTAATATAAATAGAATATTCCTATATACAATTTTACTTTTCGCATAAAAAACAAAAAAAAAAGATTTCTTTTTCATTGAATCTAAATAATCTTTTATCAGTAATGTTAAACTTGTTTTAATTTGTAGAAAAGAAAAGAATAGCTTGAGGAATTTGATGTATTTGAGATTATTCAATAACTTTCAACATATATTTAACGATAAAGTGAAAATAATTCAAAGTAAATATTAAATATTTGGATGAAGGTGAACCAGAGAATAAGACAATATCAACAAGAACTTAACATCAAGGTTAAGTCTTCAGGGATCTATGAGTAGTTATTTTTACAGTTTATCTTCATTATTAACTATTACAACATATACAAATAGAATTATTTAAACAAATCAAATATAATTCCACTAGACTTCATTTCCTTTATCTTTTATAAACTACTTACGGCATCTCTCCCTTTTTAACTCGACCTTCAATAAACTATATACAAAATTGCACGAAATTTTCATACTTATATCATCACACTCAGGTAAACTATTCAACAAATAAACCTCAAAAATATCTTATTTGACAACACCAAAACTTTCTGTGGTTCTTCATTCTATATAATGAAATGTTTTTTTTTTCATTTGAAAGAGCATATCAACATGCAGGACATAACAGACCTATTTTATTAAATAGTTATATTTTAACGATCAATAACTGCAATCTATCGAAAAATTTTTAAAATCTCGGTCTCTTTATAAAAGCAATCTTTTATATAATAGAGAAAATTTAACTTTGAAGTTTATTTGTGATATACAGTTTTGTTTAAAAGAAATATTGAAAATAATTTCTATAATTTAAAATATCTTAATCAATCTTTTTAAGAATATTTGAAAAAATACTGAAAATGTTTCTTTTTCAATTTTCATATTGAATTCAACAAAATCTTATTAAATGTCTTGTCAACATTCATTTTCTCTTAAGATTTATCGATAAGTTATTTGAATAAAAATGATCCTCGTCGACAAAACTTTAACTCAATCTTGTAAATCTTTTTTCGTCAAGTTATTAAACAAATTTGACATTGCATCAATTAATTGAAAGATATGTTGACTCACTATTTTGTCTACTATTGTTTGCAAAATGAAAGAGAGTCTTCTAACAGTTCAAATATTTAATAGTAGTTCATTTTCACAAATATCATCAATTTTGTTTATTTATTCTTCTGAAAACTTTTTCAAAGTCGAACAAACAATTCTGGCTTGTAGGATGAAAAAAAATATCTTTTTAAAGTAGAATATGAAAAAAATTCTTAGAAAAAAATAAATTGTTTATCAAAGATCAGATCTGAGACAATGTTCTATTTCAATCTTTTTGATGAAAATTAAACTTTTTTATTAGGGAAGAAATTTAAAACATTCTACATCGATGGATTATTTAAAAGTTCAATTATAAATATATCGTTTTTTTTTTAAATTTCACTTTATCCTTATTAGTTGATAAGATAAAATAAATAATTAAATATTTGTTCATAGAGTAAATTTATCTTTATAAATAAAATCTAGTCAAATAATAAAATATAACGATAAACGATTTATTTAAATATAATAGTCTAGAGATAAATGATCGAAACCTCGATTAAGATAAACAATCGTCGAGAGAAATTTCAATCGGACGATAAAATAACATGACGAACAAAAAAAAAAATCTAAATGTAGAGATATATAAGGAGATTCGTTTCTATTGATTGATTTGATTATTTCTATCTGTTAACGATCATTGATTTAATTCATTGTTATTTTATTTAAATAATCAATAAACAAAATCAAAAATGACAAAAAGTAAAACAATTAAATCAAATAAAAAATCAAAAGATCCAAAAGCACCTAAACGTTATCGATCAGCTTATATTTTATTTTCCATTGACAAACGTTATCAAATTAAAGTTATTTCAGTTTTGTTTTTTTTTTTTTATTAAAAATATTTTCGTAAATATTTTATTTAGAATGAAAATCCTGAATTATCTCCAAAAGAAATTCTATCAGAACTTGGTGCTCTATGGAAATCTGCTGATCTACAAGTATTATTTTCAATTTTAAATTTCAATTTTAAATTATTTTTATATTATAGACAAAAGAATATTTTCAAAAATTATCTGATAATGAAAAAGCTGAATATGGACAAAAATTAAATGATTATCAAAATGAAAAAACAGCAAAAAAAGAAAATTCTCAAAAGAATAAATCAATTTCTAGTCAAGATAAAAATCAATCAATGGAAGTTAATTCATCACAATAATAAACTTTTATTTTGGTTTTTTTTTTTTTTATAGAAATACTTTTTTTTTGTTAACTTATCTATATCTTGTTTTTATTTGATTGTATATTTTATCTTTACTTATGGATTTTATTCCATTTATATATTCAAATTAAATTATGAAACATTTACAATCTTGAAAAACAAAAAACGAAAATTTCTCAACCATCTTTTATTTTCATAGAATGCAAAAGTAAAAACAAAGAATAGACTTTATTTCTATTGTTATTACAAGTTAACAGTTAACCATATTTTTCTAACGTCAAGGTGAATTCGTCGTTCTTCGTCACATATTTTCTCCGTACGTAACAGATCTATAGACTAAGAAAAGTTTATCATGATATTGTCTCATCTTGTCATTTGACTGAGATAAACAAGTTTTTATAAAATCTTCGTGTAGAATCGTGATTTTTCAGTCAAATCATATTTTCAAACTTTAAACATATCCATACTGGAACTACTCGAGATTATAGAATAAATCTCAGAACTATTCGGTGTAGCATAGCTGGGATATCAATTTTTCGAAATATTCAACTTTTATACAAGTGCCTATATTATTATAAATTCATATCTCAATTATACTTACGAGGAGACCGTCCCAGGTGTCCCCCTCCGATTTCCTTCGTTTACGTGCCAATCGGTAGAGGATATCGAGGTGGTATAAAACCTAAATGGACTTGCGCTGAGTCCTCTTTCTCCAAAAGTTATGGTGATTTTTCGTTTTTTCTCACGTCAGCGAAAAACCCGACAATTTGAAAAATTCAAAACTCAGTCAAAAATTGACATAAATCCTTGAAATTTGCAATATAGTGAGTTCAATACACAGACTCACTGTGCTCAAACTCTCAGATCGATCAAGCATTCGATCCCTAAGTTATAACACTATATTTCTCTACAGAAAGAACAGCCAACTTTCAGTCAGTGTTTTTTTTTCAACTTTATCAGCTGTTGTCTGTGAGTGATTAGCGTTGTTTACAGTTCTTATTGACTTTATCCGTAAGTAACTGTCATGGCCAGCGGCCATGATACAGTATCACTCTAGTATCTCATTCATCACATTCTTCACTTTCTCTTTCCTTTCTTTTCTTTTCTTCTCTTTTTGAGATATGCATCCTGTTCTGTTCTATTTTTTCTTCTGTCGCGCAGATTCTTTCTCCTTGTCTGTTTTTCGGACATTCATTCTTTTTCCGGTTTAATTCTCCAGAATACATTCTTCATCGTTTTCGTTTGATCATCCGGTTCCTAAGAAGAAGAGAGTGATCGTTAACAGTAACATAGTTTCTTTCAGTTGTAGATTTCACTGAAAAACTTCACAATGATTAATTCTCATAACGTTTCTCGCCTCGTCTCCAACTATATATCAAAATTACTTCCGTCTCCCAATCTAACGGATGCCTACACTCCTCGTGATGAGGATGTGGCTCAGAATATTGTCCATACTATTGAATCTGTTCTGAACTGTACACATTATAGTTTTGAAACAGAAGAAACACTGGTAAATAATTCGATCACCAGGAGGAAATTCAGAAAAACTCTTTGTTTTCTCTGATTGCAGGATTTTATTTACAACTTTGGTGAACAAATTGAAGACACTGAAATAGACTCTGACGATGAAAATGACGAAAGCTATACAGAAGAAGATGTAGAAGAGAAAGATAATGGTTTATTAAATCACTTTTCTCTTGAGTATATGCAAAAAGCCGTTGATTATTACGATGAAGTGAATGTGAATATTGGTAAAAAGAGTCATTCATGGAGTAGTTTTCAAAGACGTTTCAGAAGAATAAAAGATAAAAACTATATCAACCGTTTCTGCACATATTTACAACAGAAAGGAACCAAAAAGCACAAGCTTGAAGAAATTGATGCTTTTGTGTGCAGTTCATTCGAGAAAACTCGTGATCAGTTTTTATTCATACATGATATACAATTAAGACGTTGGGCGCTTCAAAAAGCACATGAACTGGAAGAACATAGTTTTCTGGCTAGTGAAAGGTGGCTTCGTAATTCCAAGCATAGACATGGAATTTGTAGTCGTCATGTGACTAAAGTAAAATTCTAGCTTTATTTTCAACCTTGCGCTCTTTGGTAGACAACTTTGTGCTCTGACGGTTCTCCTAGAAACTGCAACCTATGTGACGATCGTTGTCTTCTCTGTTTCAGCTCGTGACAATGAAAGAAGTTGAAAACGTGGATACAATCAATGAATCAGCTGAAAAATTTGTATCAGATGTCAAAAAACTACTTCCAAGTTACAACAAATTCAACGTGTTTAATACTGATCAGTTAGGATTAGAGTTGGAGATGCATTCAAATCGTACATTCTCATTTGAAGGAGAAAAAATAAGAGTAGCAACAGTTCGTTCAAAGCACAATATTACACATAGTTATACAGTTCAACCAATCCTTTCAATGGAGGGTACACCAGTTGGACCTTTGTTCTTATGTCTAAAAGAAGCCGTAAGTAACTGTTGAAGGAGATGCTTTTCTAGCAAAAAGTCTTTTATGAATATTTTAGAACGGACATATGAGCGATAATATTAAACAGAATCTCTTTAAAACAGATAACATTGTAATCACCTGTAGTAAATCCGGTAAATTGATAACAAGTCTGGTTCAGTATTGGAGCGATAATGTGTTATTACCTTTGGTTGGTAATAGAAAGTGTATTCTGTTAAGTGACTACTGGGGAGGTCAAAGGACTGATAAACTTTACGAAAAAATGAAACATCTTAAACGGGTTGAAATTCCAAAAAGTACCACGTCAATGATACGACCTCTTGATGTTGGATGGAATCGTCAGTATAAGTACTTTGTACGACAGATGTACGATCATGTTCGCCTGTACGATTTAGATGTTAATTTAGCGCAACGTAATAACATTATTAAAATGAACAGTTTAGCATATAACCAAATGACGTCACCCAAATTCAAACCAATGGGTCGTTACGCCTGGTATCAGTCTGGATATCTGGAAGATAATCCAGGTCCATTTCAAAATACAAAAGAACTGTGTTTCTCGTTCGGTGATCAACGTTGTAGTGAATTCCAGTGTAAAGTAATGCCCTTCGTGAAGCGTATTTTTTGTGCAGAAGTTTTATGCTTCTCTCATTTTTTTGATTGTTATCATAAGCATTGATATTTGGGCTGTATGCTTTATGATTTAGGTCACATTTGGTCCTATGTAATCTTTCTCTACAGTGTAATGTGTCAGATTACTCTGTATATCGTTTTTCTGTCCAATGGCAGTTTTTGTAGAAGAGAGCTTTTTTTAATAAAAAAAGTACCTTCTAAAGTGAGTGGTTTCTATGTATCAGAAAGAAGACAACGTTCATTTAGAAGAATGAACGGCCAGTATCCTACACATTGAAAATTTCTTTTATTCAGATTCAGAAGAAGCTCTGTCAAAAAATACAGTAGTCGAGAAATCTCTCTTTTTACACCTTGAATGAAAATTTCCATAATTCAGGAATAGAATGCTTGATCGATCTGAAATTTTGAGCACAGTAAGTCTGTGTATTGAGCTCACTATATTGCAAATTTCAAGGATTTATGTCAATTTTTGACTGAGTTTTGAATTTTTCAAATTGTCGGGTTTTTCGCTGACGTGAGAAAAAACGAAAAATCACCATAACTTTTGGAGAAAGAGGACTCAGCGCAAATCCATTTAGGTCTTATACCACCTCGATATCCTCTACCGATTGGCACGTAAACGAAGGAAATCGGAGGGGGACACCTGGGACGGTCTCCTCGTAAGTAAGTGTGAGCAAATGAAATATCGGCGTGCACGCCTTCTGAGCAGGTTGACTTATTGCCATATACATTACTGTGTTTTCCTTGAAAATGTTTTTTTCTCTTTACCAATATTGAATGAACAGCATGAAAAAAGATATTTCAAAGAAATAATATGAATATATTCGATCTTCGAAAATTTGAATTCGATTTAAAACATATTAAATTAATTATATTGAAAATTATTAATTTTTCTCAATCAATTCGCAGAACTTATCTCTACTGTTCATAAGTTTCATGTATTTAAGAATGAAATAAATAATAAGTCATTATTATAGAAAAATCATATATTCTACTAATCGTCTTAAATCAGATGGTTTCATCGGCACACAATGAAATTTGTGTTCGCTAGTCATGCTCTGTTTTTAAATGATATCAACTACAATATATCGTGCAGAAAAAAATCGATATCTACCCTAGTGAATGTACTGCGCTAAAGATACCCATGTACTGAGAAAGCTTCAGCAAGGTACTCGATATGGGTACTTCGAAAATTCTCAGTAATTATACTGATGTAGATGCTGCATTGGGCACCCATAGTGGTACGTTTACTGAACAAGTACTTGTATAGGCACCCGTATCTGTAATTTTACGGAGGAAAGCTCTTCAGGGTACCCTAGATTTGTCGCGTTCTGTGTAGCAACTGTTCATTCACCATTTTCTTTTGCACACACGGCTTTATATAAACAACTTGACAAAACATAAGAAATTAATCTGTTTTCATACTAATTTTTTCTAGATTATTTCTTGACTATTTACTAGTCGAGAACATGCCGATCTCGATCGTAAGTGGAGAAAGGTCTACCCTGGAATGATCTGATGGAGATCCGACCAAATCAAGTTCGGTCAGATCTCAAAATTTGGCCTACTTTAGTTTTCAGAATTGGAAAAATTGAATTAAATAAAATCGAAAAAATGTCATAAGTTTCTTTGAGAGAAACAAAAACGAAAAAGTCAAAGGTTGGGTTCGATTATCAACATACTGTAATTTTGACAACAGGGTATCTAAAAGTATTGTACAATAGTACGCAGTTGAGTACTTGATCAGTACCTTCAAGTACCCATTTGCTAGACGCTTTCCAGCAGGTTACCCGATAAGGTACTTGAGTACCTAACAGATCCTCGGACATACTATATAGTAGCAGGGTACTTTTCGGGTGCTCTTAACTCAGTACATTCACTAGGGTATC